ATCTAAATACCTAAAGCATCCAAAACCATTCCCATTCCTTCCTGGACAGAAATAGGGCTGACCACAGCTTGTCCTGTGTCATCCGAAACCTCTGCATGATTTCTCTTTCCCTCTGCATCCTCCCACTCCTGCTCTCTGTGCCTTCCACCCCTGCATCCCTGTGAGCTGCTTCTCTTGTATGCTACTTGCATCCTCCAGTTGATATTTGTTTTGATTTGTTGCAGAACAGGGTCACTGCTGGGGGCATCTTCACACTCCTACTCCCCTCTCTGTCCCTTTATTCTTGACTCCACCTTTATTGCACCCAAGGAATGTCTTGCCTTAGGGCAGAATGGGCAGTTCATCCACACTTGGAACCCCCAAGATCTGTTTCTACCTCCAACAGGCTCATCAAGGAATTCCTTAACATGAAGGCTGCTCTGTTGGTGACAGGTCTTCCAGCAGATGCAGTTATTCTTGTTAGGGTAGAAGAGGTAAAGAATACATCTTGAGGAACAAGGGTCCTTCTCCTGGCCATAGAAGGAAACAGGGAGTTAGCATTAAAGAGACCCTGGAAAGCCTGGATTCATGAAGGTGGAGCCCAAGTTCCAAGCCACAGAGAGATGTAGGATGTGGTCTGTCCCCAAAAGGCATTCCTGTTGGCATTCAAGAGGAAGGCCTTGGGCCACACGGGGAGGTACCTAACCAGCTTGAATCCAGGGAGGTTGCAGAGGCTCCTAAGCCAGTCACCTGGAGGTGCTGAGCCACAGGATGGAGTGAGGCACAGACAGAGCAGAGGCTGAGGGTGGGCTCCTCCCCACCGCAGAGGACCTGGCCTTCTCAGTGGGCAGGTGCGGTGGACCTTCACACCCATTTTCTGTGTGAGCTCTGAACCACCACTTTATGGACTGCAGTGCTGGAGAGCAGCTCAGGAGGACACAGACACTGCCCAGCAGAGGCCCCTTAGGAGTCGTCCTCCCTTTTCCCCCTAGACTGTGCAGATCGAGTCCCAAGAACAGGCCTTCTCCAGACTGTCGGTGGTCAATTGTGTTCTTTGAAACTCTTTCTTGTTGGTGACTTTTGTTGCTGGGCCCTCACCTGTGCTTGTAGCCTCCCTTTTCCACCTTAAAACTCACCGACTGTGAGTGGGGAGTGACTACAATAGACTAACAGACGTCACTGTCAGACAGTACCCTTACAATCCTGGGAGGGTCTCACAGCAGCCCAGAGCCTCGGTGGAATCCAAGCCCTATCACTCACCAGCCATGAGCTCCTAGACCGTTATTCAACCTCGTGCCTTGGTTTCCTCACATAGTTGTTTTGGGCATTAAATGAGGTAACCCATGCACTTGCTAACCAGGGCCTGCCACTTGTGAGTGTTCACATATGTGAGCTGTTGCTCTCACTACTGCTGGACATTCGTGAACTGTTGGAAGAGCCCTTAGAGAGGAAGAGTCCACGTGATGTTCAAGTTTTCCTTTATTTTAGCTAGCACTGCTCCCATGGTACAAAATGCATGACATTTATGTTAGGTACAGGCTAATGTGAGTGTCAACATCAGGACAGGTTGAGGCTGAGAGTTTGCTTAACAGAAGGAGCAAGTAAGTACATGGTCCTGGGCAGGGAAATTGAGTCAGGAGAGGAGAGCAAAGGAAGGGCCAGAGACCTGTCTGTCCCTGTGCACTGTTCAAGTGGAAGGGTTTGTGCTGCTAAGATGGGGCAGTGCCTGTCCACTCCCAACCTCCAGCACACAAGGTACAGACCTCTGGGTGGGTTCCCTCCCTTCACTGAACATGCGTTGAAGGGGTTATCTGAATCCTGCCCATCTTTCCCTGGCATCGTCTGGTCCCTTCTTCCTGCATAAAGAGTCCTCTGAAAATCCCACCTGCAGTCCTTGCCTGGGAATTCCCACTCCCAGGTGTCAACAGGGCCCTGGGAGTCCTGGCCAGCTTCCTCACTTGTGCTGCTGTTACTTATTTTTCCCTGTGTGGACAAAAGCTTCCTGGACACATGTGGAGCATAGCGACTTAGTGTGACAGTAACCTGTTTAGCTGACAGTTCTTCTGTGCTCAAAAGTGGGTGTGATGATTTCCTGTCCCTTTAAGGATACAACTCAGCATGTAGGAGGTTAGGGGTCTCTATCAAGTGTTCCTTTCACTTTCAGAAGAAACAACATAAAATGATCACCTTAAAGAAGGAGGATCTTTTTACAAGATCTTTACAAGTAGACTTTCTTTTTCTCACGGATCTCTGGAGTGGCTGCATGGTAGCGCTCAGACCTTAGAAGCAAAATCACTAGATTCCACCTCTGTCACTTAATAGCTGAATGGCCCAGATGGACTTAGTCTCTCTAAGCCTCAATTACCACGTTAATAAGGTCTACCTTGTAGGGATATTATCATTCCTAATGGTGTCATTAAAGAAGTTGGGGCCCAAACATAGTAAACTCTTTGATGGTAGCCATTTAGCAGGTCCCCAATATTTGAGGGGGGAAAAAAAAGCTTTAAGAGTGAGGACCATCCCCTGAGCAGAGTCTGCTCTGGCTTGATCTCATGGTCACACCCATTGGCCCCCTCTGGGTGGATCTGCCTGGACTCTTAACTTGGATGCCCACTGCCCGGGCATCTGCCCTGCATTGCCTTTCTTTCCTACCTGGAGCTTTCTCTTGACCTCTGATTGGAGGGTCTGTGATCATGCTTACAGCAGTGTTGTACCTGATACTGGCCACCTTCGTGCCTTGAATTCCCTTACTGTCATCAGCCGTCCCCGGCCTTGGAACTGAGTCACCCCTGCTGTCAGCACCCCTGCAGCCTGGCTGGGTGCCCTCTCACCTCTGAGTTCTCAGCACTCGCTGCTCCTGCTTCCCCTTTGGCACATAGTCATCTTTTTAAAAATTTTAATCAGTTTTTTCTTTTTTTCTAATTTTTAGAAGTCATTATTGCATAACCACTGTGCATGGTAGTGGGATTCACCGTGACTTTCATATATGACATAACAGAGCTTGGCCAGTTTCTTCCCCCAGTGCTTCCCCTTTACTTCCTCTTCCCTCCTCCCCACACCTGACCTCCCTCCTCTCCTGTTCTTTCTATTTCTCTGAGATCCCTTTCTTCTCTATAGCTTCCTTGTGTGGCCCTTGACTTCTGAGTCTGGCCTATTTTGCTTAACCTGATGATCTCTAGTTTCATCCATTTTTCTGCAAATGACATAATTTCATTCTTTATGGATGAATAAAATTCCACTGTGTGTATATATACCACATTTTACTTACCCACACATCTTTTGATGGGCCCCCAGGCTGGGGCCGTAACTTGGCTTCTGTGAATTGTGCTGCTATAAACATGAGTATACATGTATCACTGTAGTATACTGACTTTAGTTCTTATTGTTGTTTTGTTTTTATATGCATCGATTTCCTCCTAGTTAATACCAGACAGCTCTTAATTGCTACTCTTTTCAGGATATAATTTATTGTGAAAATATGGTATGTATACAAAAGAATATACATCAAAAAAAAAAGGTGCAGTGTTTTAAAATACCCACCACCCAAGTTAAGAAATGGAATAACACAATAAGGTGATCATAGGTAACAATAATATAGTATGTATTTCAGAAAGCTGGAAGGAGTTTCAAATTTTGTACCATAAAGAACTGATAAATGTTTGGGGAGATATACAACTTGATATAACTATTACATGGTGTATAAATGTATCAGAAAATCAATTACCTCATTAATATGTATATTTTTAATGTTTTATGTATCAGTTAAAATAATTTTTAATTTAAAAAAAGATATAGAGGGCTGGAGATGTGACTCAAATGGTAGCACGCTCACCTGGCATGCGAAGGGCACTGGGTTCGATCCCCAGCACCACATAAAAATAAAATAAAGATGTTGTGTCCACCGAAAACTAAAATATAAATATTAAAAAATTCTCTCTCTCTCTCTCTAAAAAAAAAAAAAAGAAAGAAAGAAAAAGAAAAAAGAAACAATACAACCAAGACCTTGCAAATCCCTTTTCAGTCCTTCCCAATTATAGCTTCCCCTCCCCTCCACAGGTAACCAATGTCATCAAATATATATGGATTAATAGATGACTCTATGACCAGTGTGATTCTGCAATCTGTACAATCAGAAAGATGAGAAATTATGCCCCAATTGATTCAAATGTATGAATTGCCAAGATCATTGTAATGTCATGTGTAGTTAATAAAAAAAATTCACACATACAATATATATAGATATATAGATTAATGTTTTCTAATCTTTAAACAGTACATTTTTTATTTTGCCATATTTATGTAACTAGAAGCAATAACTGGAAGCAAATGTATTTAATTGTTTGACTTGATTTTTTTCAACACGTTCTTAAAACCAGCCTGTTTGCTTCAGGCTGCACGGAGCATTCCACAGGGAGAAGCTGTCATTTCCCAGAGAAGGGGCGCAGACCCCAGCCAAGCTCCCCTAGGCCATGCTGCCTTCTGCTCACGTTCCGCTGGCTGGGTCATGCCAGAGGACCATGTCCATTCAGAGTCAGGTGGCCCTAGCCGTGTAGGCTGGGAAGAGGTTGGTTGGTTGAGCAACAGCCTAATCTGACCCATGGACAAAGCCTTTTCTGGTTTGACTGTTTCAAATGGTGTCGCTGCTGTGGCTGTGGCCCACCTGATTGTGTCTCCTGTTGCACTCGTACTGGCAGCTGAAGGGTGTACACCTTGAAGATTGGCTCCTGGTAGTGGGGCATTCCCAGCTTTACTGGGTGATACCAAACCTGTTCTGCATCACTGTGCCTTCTCTGTGCGCCATGAACCTGTGCTTCCATTGTGGCCTGACCCTCTGCTGCTCTGGCATTTTTGCCTGCTATCTTTAAAACACAATTGAATGCTCTTAACAGTATCTGCCTTGAAATTTTGCAGCGAGGTCAGTTCTTTTCCAGCCACTCCTATAGGATGGAAGGGGCCCTGTCACAGCCGATTGTCTTCTTGTCAGTACTCAGAATCCACTGACCATTGTGTTTTACTGGCAGGTTTGGTGCAAATGCCAAGGTGGTGCATTTCCTGGGACGAGTCAAGCCGTGGAATTACACTTACGACGCCCAAACAAAAAGTGTCAAAAGTGAGTCCCACGATCCCACCATGACTCATCCAGAGTTTCTCCACCTTTGGTGGGACATCTTCACCACCAACGTCTTACCTCTGCTTCAACAATATGGCCTTGTCAAAGACACCTGCTCATACCTACATGTGGTAGGTTCTCTTTTTTTTTCCCTTCATGTACTTTAGTGCTGCACTCATAAAAATGAGGCCTAACAGTAGAGTTTGGGAATATTTAGTTGCATTTTAAATACAGAGATAAGATTTTTTTTGGAAAGAAAGCAAAGACCATCATCATGCAACATAATGATGGTAGATCATGGAAAATTTCATTAGAAAGGTTTTTAGTTTTCTTTTTTTTTTTTTAAATAAACATACATGCATATGTTATAATTATAAAATTATTAACCCATTATTCATAAAAAATGCCTGGCATGTGAGGGGCCCCAATTTGATCCCCAGAACTGTGAAAGAAGAGAATGCCTCATCTAGTGGTTTAAAAACTTTAGATATTTAATTATATTTTATATTTGCCATTTGCTCAGATTTCATTGAAAAATCACAATAGTATGAACATACAATAAATACTTTTCTCAGACTATTTTGATTTCCTGTTTGCACTCCTAGTATTAAACCCCTGGAAAAAGAATTCCTTTTTAAGAAGGAGAGAACATGTTCTCCTCTACAATACCAGCCTTATTTGGCATGTTTTCTGACTTTAAAGGTCCTCCTCTGAGGTTTGTCCTTTGGACGAATTGAAGTAAGATGAGAAATTAGGGGCCGGGTGCGGTGGTGCACGCCTATAATCCCAGCAGCTTAGGAGGCTGATACAGGGGAATCAAGAGTTCAAAGCCAGCTTCAGCAATGGCAAGGCACTAAGCAACTGAGTGAGACCCTGTCTCTAAATAAAATACAAAATAGGGCCGGGGATGTGGTTCAGTGGTTGAGTGCTCCTGAGTTCAATCCTTGTTACCCTTTACCTCCCCCCCAAAAAAAGATGGAAAATTAAGATGTTACATATAAAGTTATAAAAATTAGAACCAAAGGGGTAAATTACAATCAGGTAATCTGTTAATTACCTGACTAAAGGGATTATAATATTGTGAGAGATTCTTTTCTATAGTAGCTTAGGTTTTACTCATGTTGCTATGATTTGTACCGAAATGTAGAAATGAGAAAGGGAGAAATAACTAACACTTTCTCTGAGTATTCTATATGGATCATAGAATAACACTTGTACTGTAGTTGGAACAGTGCCTGGTTCATAGTAAGTGCTTAGTAAAGTTAGCTGTATTTCTTTAACCCTTAGAACTAGTCTGTCAGTAAGTACTATTATTGCTAAGATCTCCTTCTTAAAGTAACTTAAGGCTTAAAGTAGGTAGTTACCTAACTTGTCTTAATTAACAGACTACAGTAGTAGGACTGGAACTCAAATCCAGATCTGAAAGACAGTTATCCTCACAGAAATTTGAGATGGACCTTCTTAAGGTGTACCTCTATTGCCCAGAATGAAGTGCAGCATTGTTAGGGAAGAGGATGGGAAAGCATAATTTAAGTGGTCAGGCACTGTAAATTCGATCCAGTACACTTGACTAGACCTCAAGGGCCTTTTTCCTGGGGAAGGTCCTTGGAATTGGGCAGAGTACTCCGGAACAGCCTCTCTTTGTCACTGCTGTTCCAGGTGAGGCAAAGGCAGGATCAAGTGTGATCCCTGTGTTGGCCCAGCTACCCGAAGTGTGTATTCCCAAACCCTTTGAAGCTCTAGTGTACTTAAATACATACACCGACCCTTATGCTTCCATATGTAGAGAGCAACAAAACAGGTGTTCAAAATTTGTTCCACCATTTTCTTTGTTAATAGCTATGACTATTCTTATTCATTCACCTTCTTTTTCTCTCTGCTGAGATTCCCAGTGCCTCCCCACTCGAGTGCTCTTTGCAGGATGGCATTGGCAATCTTGTAGGGCACACCTGAAGACGTTGTCTCCCATATGGAACGTGAATCAGCCAAGCCTCACATAGAGTAGACTGGCCCCGTGTGCTGCCTCGACACTGTTCTTTCTGCAACCCAAGGACTGAGAATTATGAACCAAGGGAAGGTGAAGACAGGAATTGAAAGAGTTGTTCAAAACCAGACAAACTAACAGAAACTACAGGAATAGATGTTACTTGGTAATCCAGATGAAAGCTTGAGCAGGCAGAAAAATGTGGTACATAGTCCCAAGCCATTCAGCTGTGCTTACAAGTGACAACTTGTGTACCTGATTTGGCTCTCTGGGCAGGTTCCTCTGAAACATAGCACTAGGTATCATTTTGTTTAAGTTCTCAACCTTTCCGAGCCCACAGATTGAGGACTGATCATGAGACGTGTTCCTTTGTCCACCCCTCTTACGCTTTCTAATGAACTGTTTGCAGCTCTCAGACTTGGTCTATACACTGGCCTTCTCTTGTGGCTTCTGTAGAAAGGTATGCAGAACTTAAACTAATTCCTTTGTTCTCCCAATGTTTTCACTGAGTCAAGAAGTTTTCATTTCGTTAGGAAAAACAACCATACGACCCTTGTATCTTTGTGTCTTTTTTGTTTGTTTCACGTAATGCTTTTCAGTTTTTATAATAATGCATGATAATTCATCCTGGCTTTTCTCACCTACTTCACTTTATTGCATTCTTGAAAATCATCTGACTTCGGCTCTCAAGGACTCTCTGTGCTCTCTCTTTTAGGAACATGTCTCAGGAGCCGTATCACATATGTCCCTCGGAGAGAGCCCAGCTACACCTCAGCCCTTTGTATCCTCAGAGGAGCGGAAGGAGCGGTGGGAACAGGGCCAGGCTGATTACCTAGGAGCAGATTCCTTTGACAACATCAAGAGGAAGCTGGACACTTACCTCCAGTAGCAGCGTGGCCATCCTCCTGTGGACACAGCCGCTTCACAGCCACCTGTTTCTGACACTTAGCATCTAGAGTGGGCTGAGAAGTCTGTTACAGTTGTTAAGGCTTTCACTAAAACTCATCAGACAAGGGCTTCTTGCAGGACGACAGGTGAGAACTAGGCAAAAATTGTGAAGTTGTCATTCTGTTATGGACAGTGTTCTGCTTTGTAACCCTAGATTTACTTAGCTAACATTTCAGAAATTCGCAATATGGCAACTGCCAACATACGTGGTAGGGGAGACCCGCTATTGACATTGAGATGGCTGTTCATCTCAAGTGTGCAGAACCAGGCTCCACACCCCTCTCCCTCCAGAATGGGATGTGGCATCTGCCCCTTGCTTGCTTGTCACACCCTTCACTAGATGTGCATTTTACAACTGTCCAGAGGCTGCCAGAGTGATACTTGTGCTTTCAGGTAAAGGCAGCCTTTAATAATACTGCCCTGTGACTCATGAACACATTGACAGGTGGCATCAGCCCGCCTCATCTCCTAGTCCTAATGTCTGAATAGTTCACAGTTTTCCATGCACTGTGAAGGCAGCATGCTGAAGCTTTTGTTCAGTTCTGTATATCTGAAAATCGCAGTGTGTTCTGATGGTAACCTGCAGTAGCATCCTGTATGAAAATAAAGACTTACTGCCATATCTTGGTTGTTTAATTAAGTATTGCCCCTACCTCACTCTCATAAAAAAAAAAATCAATTTGAGAATTTTATAATTTATAGAATTTGCCAGTCTCAAAAAATAGTGTAAAGCTTGACATGGGTAAATGCATTTAAAAGTATTATTGAAGATATTTAAAGCTAATGTTCTCCAGTGGTGGTGATGGGTCTGACAGATGGAGGAAGGTGAGATCAAATTTATCTCGTTTGTCATCCACTGTGCATCCCCAGGGGGTGTCCAGGGAGAATACTGTAACCTTAAAATCTGTTCCAAACACACTCAGTAATGGCTCAGGCTGTCAGAATCTGTGCTGGACCAGTACCTTCCAGTTGTTTTTTTTTTTTTAAACTCAGAATAGAAGTGTTAAATCAGTTATTAAGTTTACAGATGTTTCTGGGATACAGAGGACATACTCAATGGAGAGGATCCAAAATAGCCTTTAAACATAAAATGAGTAAGCAGCATAATTCAGGAAAAAATATGACAGGAAGAAATTTGAGGTTTAATGAACCACAAGTTGCAGTGCCTTTTTTGTTGTTGTTACTGAGGATTGAACCCAGGGGTGCTTTACCACTGAGCCACATCCCCAGCCCTTTTTATTTTCAGACAGGTTTTCACTAAGTTGTTGAGTCTCGATAAATTGCCCAGGCTAGCCTCCAACTTGTGATCCTCCTCCCTAAGCCTCCCAAATTGCTGGGATTACAGGTGTGCAACACTGTGCCTCAGCTGCAGTGACTTCTGTGACCTAATCTTCAGTCACCCTTCTTTGTTTATTCTGGCTACTGAGATCATTCCTACTCAGCGTGGATGAGTGAACAACCAGGTTTAGATACCTGGAGACTATGGGCCACCATGGAGGCTGGCTACCTGAAAAGCTTCAGAACATGAGAATTTATCTAAACTTTACAATACTGAATGACAAGTGACTTCTGAAGAGTCAACAGTTATTTGGACTGGTGGAGAGTGAGTTGCTACCACTTCCAAGTATGTGAAACATTTACCAAAAATTGAAGTGTCTCCATGTGGCAGGTGGTATGGGTACACAGACCTCTCTGGGATGGCGCTGAGGCATAAGCAACTTCTGCCTTTGGGGCTTCTAGGTCCCTGGTTGAGATGAACAGAAACCTAAGTCTTCAGATAAATACCACCTTGTTTTTGTGGCCATGCAATGAGCACTCCAAATAAAGAGTATTAGAAGAGATAAAATTTGGGGCTGGGGTTGTGGCTCAAGTGGTAGCGCACTCGCCTAGCACGGGTGAAGCACTGGGTTCAATCCTCAGCACCACATAAAGATATTGTGTCCACCTAAAACTAAATAAATAAATATTTAAAAAAATAATAGAGAAAATTAAAAGTTTTTTTAACTGAGAAAAGATGTAAAAGCACCAAATGATTTTGGCAGCCGATGTGGAGGCAGGGATCACACATTATGACTCGAGTGTATTTACTATCTTTTGTTCCTTAGTTTTTTACACATAGTGTAAGAAATAAAGCTCTAAAGTGAAAGGCCTTACTTAAAATTTTTAATTAGTGAAGGTAATTAACTTTCATAATCAGAAATACTGACACATTGACATAGAAGACAGCATATAATATGCATAAAAGTGCGACAGGTTGTAGCTGGGAAATCACTGAACTAGGTGACGGATTTCTTTTCCTTTCCTGCTCTTTCAAGAACAGGTCTTTAATTAGTATGAACTGACTTCTACACAAAGCTGCACAGTTCACACTTCAAGGACCCCCCAAACACCAAGGGTTGCTTAGGAAAATGTATAGAAAGGCCACATTCAAATCACAGATGTGCAATTTTACTAATTGTACACAGTGGGGCACAGGTCAGATCCATCCTGTGCCTGACCAAGGTCTGTTCAGCAATAAAGTGAACGTCTATTTAATTATCTTTTGCCTGCATTTGTTATACCCTGGAAAGTCTTAAAGTGTTCAAAACTTGACATTAAAGTGAGTTATCATGAGTCAAACATCAAATCTGCCCTCATGATGTTTATGACTCTCATCTAAATGCTAGTGAAAAGAACTCTGGCAAGCAAATCAAGTAGGGAAAAAACCGCACGTCTTCAACATTCCCCAGCATAAAAACTTTCACAGTCTAAGGATAATCTCATAGGTATTCATGGCATTCTTTTCTTGATTTAACTATTTCCAGCCTAGAGTTGCAGTTTTGAGGGCAAAATATCTTCAATAATTTACAGTACTATGTGTATATATAGGTATTGTCACAACTCCTTTTTTTCTTCAGATGAGGTAATTAATCGGGACCAGTGTTTTACATCAGGCATTTTAAATTCGATATACAGTCTAATTTTGGAACAAGAATATTTGGGGGTGGGGTGGGGTTACCAGGGATTGAACCTAGGGGCACTTAATCACTGAACCACATCCCTAGCCCTTGCATGGCCTGAACAAAAATTGTAACCAGTTCAACTGAGCAGAATTTAAAAAGGCGGAAACAGGAATAAATTACTCTCACAGTACTTCCTACGCACTATCAATAAAAATTATATAATATAAACACTTCACATAAATGAGATTTAATGACATTTTATTCAATGAGAAAATTGTCATCAAAACTATGACACCAAGTAAGCTAATCAATTTTTGATATTTTTATTAATTTTAAATGTAAAACAAAATCCAGTTGGAACCACGATTGGAAATACAATGTTTACAATATATTTCTAAAGCTATTATTCTATGTAATAATAAAACAATTAACAGCATAGCATAATGTGAAGTTTTCATTCCAGTGGTTTATATATTTTCTTAGGATGAATTAAATTCTTTTTTTTAAATTTTACCCCCCTTTATTTGACTTTTCCAAAACCAAACCAAAAAACATTTTTAAATGACTTGCCAAACATCATTTATGAATGTGTTTAAAAAAAAAATAGTTCCTCACTGTGCAGACGAAGCTGCACTGTCTCTGCCTTCACCATCAAGAGGAGCAGTCTGGGGGATTCCCCCCACTAAGAATTGTTTATACTTGATTCTACTGGGGTACTGGCACACACAACCCACCTGCCACATTTAATCAGAGTCTGATCCATCTGATTTTGTGTAATGCTAGAGCTAGCAGGTAAGGAACTTCCCTGGACTCCTAGCAGACCAACCCAAGTCATTACTCCACTATTGTCTCAGCAGAACCTCTCAGTCTTGATGAAGTCAGTCCTCTGCCTCACCTAGAGAAAAGGGACTGGGGGGATTCTTGCTGGCTGATCTGTTGCTACTCTAGACACAGGGAGGGGAGGGCTTAGCCAGCAGGTATTGGTGCACACCTCAGGTGTGTCCCCTGTGACCCCATATTGCTCTCATCTGTCAATCAAATCACCTCTAACACTGTTAGTAAGAGTAGGTGTTCTTAAGTCTATATCAAACATGATGCATCTCTTAACTATGGTAATTTCTTCTTTGGATTGAAAAAAAAAAAAAACCCTTAAGGAAATAAAACCACTGAATACGTAAACCTGACTGCGCAACCTCTAGTTTATTTATTTTAAATGACTTGAGTCACCTAGAATTCTGTGGCAACTACTGTGAGTTTGCTTATTAATGTAAAAAAGTAAGAAAAATGTAAGGATGAATTACTGAAGTTCCAAAATCAAATTCTGATTTTAAACACACATAACAAAGAAATTTTACATTCAGGATTAAGATGTCTTTAAGAGTTGAGACGAGTTTGGAGGTCATCCAGCCCAACTTCCATCCAGACATCACGCCTCTCACATATAGTAGTCTTCTGAATTATAAAAATTTATAGTTATTTCCAAAAAAAAAGGCTAGATAAATAAAAAGTACTATTTATAGAAATATCTATTTATATTTCATAATTTAAATATTCAATCAAATTGGGTAAAACTGCTTCCCTCTCAGCCCCCGACTGTATTTACACCCTGTGTATCAAATTACATTTAAACAATGAAGTAGTACTAATTGACAAAAATGGAGAAAATAAGTATTGTAACATAGTCCCTAATTTTTTCATGAACATAAAATTGCAAGTCACATGTGAATTATGTCTCAATGAAGCTGTAAAAAAAAAAAAATGCAAGCAACTTGGACTTTGGTCTCTCATTAAGATTTGGTTTTGGAATGCAAATTGTGGTTTTTCAAAGTCAAAATCAATCTCTTACAGTCTGTATATATGTATATATTAATCATTTACAAGGACTGGGGATCCACCAATCAAGAGGCTCTGGTGAATAACCAAATGTGTCCAACATAGAAAATAAGTCTTTACTGATCAAAAGTATAAAAGGTTTGACCTTATTGGAAATATGAAAAAGCTGAGTACTTGGAAGATATATGAAAATACTCAGCATAGATACTAGGAAAAGTTGAATAACAAAGTAACTTTTTTTCCAAAAAATTATTTTAGGCCACAGTATGTAACGGAACTTATTGCTATTTGAAGTATCATTAAAAATAGGTTCATATAAGAGATTATGTGTCAGTAACACCTCTTTACTAATATAAAATAGGCCCCTTTTAGAAGACATACTCTAGAGCTCATTCCTAAATCTCTGTAATGTTTCTCATTTTCAAAACTTAGTATCTGATCAAACTGACCTTACTAAAATCCCCAAAATTATAAATCAATTAGAGTTCGGATTTCATTAATTTTAGCTTGTTTCATTTCATTAGCATTCGATTTTTTTGTTCCAAAAGCTCCAGCTGCAAGTTCTCTTTTTGTGTTTTGTATTTTCAGCATATTTTCTTCAACAGAATCCTTCACAATGAACTTCCAAAAAAAAAAAAAAAAAAGAAAGAAATTGGTTAAGTACTTTTAAAGTAATATTTAAAATCTTTAATAATAACCCCTATTAGAAACATCAAATGAACTACTGTCAAGACTCATCATGAAGGATAAATATGATAACAAGACTGCCCACTAAAAACAAAAAACAAATTCCCAGATATGATGAGAATGGTGGTATACTACAAAAGGATTTGTAATCTTATTATGAAGCTTTCAGAAAATGTGCAGTGATTTCTAGAAAACTGTTCAGCTCCTTATTCTTTCTCAATACGCCACAAGAACACTTAGAACGTGACGCAGGAGCACTAGAGCTATGCTCTGCTCTCCTGTACCACCGGGCATGGTTGTCTCATATGAGGACTATAGCCCTCGGGACACAGTTTACATCTGACAACCCTATCAACAGATGAGAAAGAAGGAAAAAAACAGCCTACAACTATATAAGCAAATCTGTCTCAACTAGAATAAAAGCAAAATGAATTTAACCTTATCCTAAAAAAGTTGTGAGAGAAATTTCTAGAAAGCTAAGAATGAGTCCTTATCCAGTATTAATTCATAACATTAAGCAAACAGGGAAGGGAAAAACATGTACCTTCTCAACAGATGCTCTTAAGAAGCATCTGATAAAATTCAACATTTATTTCTGATTAAAAAAAAACTGACTTAGTCTAGGAATAAGAGACATACTCAACCTTATTAAGGAAACAATTAAAAATTTACTAACAAAAACATTTAATATAAAACAAAGTGTTTCCAACAAAAACAGGAGCAAGTCAAGTGCAGAAGTCCCAGTTACTACAATAATGAAAGAAGCTGTATTATAAAACTTTACTGGAATATGTAAGAGCTAAATAAATAAAGAAACTATGTTCCTATAGGGAAGTACTCATTACTGCTAATGAAGAAATTAAATAAATTATTACCAATAGTTCCTGACCCTAAGTGTAAGAGTAGTAAAAGGAACAAACAATGTGACTTTTCAAATGAAGGGTAATGAGAATACTCTACCCTTTCAGGAACCAAAACATACTTGGAAAAAACCAACAATGTTATAAAACTAATATTGTCTTGAGAACAGGAAAAGATCAATGGAACAGAATGGTTTAGATACAGACCTACATATACATTTCATATTATTAGGAAAAAAAGACTTAAAAAAAGAAAAAAATTAGACCCAATGTCACTCAATACAAATCTTCCCAAAAAATCTGAAATAAGTAGAGAATAGTTTTTAAAATCTAAAGATAAAACCTTCTTTTCCAAAAAGACCTTAAAACCTAGAAACTATAAAAAAGGCTGACAGGTTTTAACTCATAAAAATTTTAAAGCTTTTTCATGACAAAAGGATCATAAGGTTTAGAGCAGGCAAGAAAGAGCCTGGGATAAGCCATTTCTAACATAGATCACCAATAACTTAGAATGTACAAAGGTGTCCTTCATATTGTAAGACTGCATTCATGCTGTAACTGAAAACTAGCAAATATATAAATAAGCAATCCACAGAAAAACTATTAATGAATAGAAATGTGACTATGTTCAAGGTCTTAGGTAAATGCAAATCAGAAGGGCACTTTTTTGACCATAACATGAGCAAAAATTTCTACCAGTCTCATACATTATAAAGTCTCTTTCGACAACAACTTGACAGCTGTCAAATAAAAATTCCAAATCCAGAATTCTAGTTTTCTTAACCTATACTGAAGAAGTACTCATATATATGCACAAAAATGTATGCACAACAGTGCTCATCACAGCATTATTTTTATCATAAAAAAGTGGACTAAATATTTAATATTCAGGTTTTAGGTTGGGGTTTTAGGTTTGCTCAGAGGTAGAGTGCTCGCCTACCATGTGTGGGGCACTGGGTTAGCTCCCCAGCAACATATACAAATAAAATATTGTGTCCACCTATAACTAAAAAATAAATATTAAAAAAATATTTAATATTCAGGTTTTAAAAAGCAATCAAATTCACAGAGACAAAGTAAAATGCTGGTTGCCAGTAGGGCAGGAGGGAGAAATGGGGAGCTGTGGCTTGAAGGGAGCAGGTTTTCAGTTTTGAGATGACTGCAGCATTTTGGGGATGGCTGCATGACCACCTGGTGTGCATGTGCTTACTGCAACTTAATGGCACAGGTACAGTCATGGCTGAAGTGTCAGAATGTGCTGTACTTCACTACACTAAAATGTGTTGAACCAAATGGACTTACACAGTATAGTGTTTAAGAAAAAAGAATATGTTGCAGAATAATAAAGTATGATCCTGTTTATCTTTGAAGTAGATTTTTTAAAAGTTGAGATAGATACTAAATAAAAAATGCATGAAGTACAGGGAACAGCATATTCTAAAAATTCATGGAGGAGAAGAGACTGAGTTTTGCTCTCCATAATTTGACTTCTATCACAATAATGTATTCATGTTATTACTTGCATAATTAAAAAAAAACACATTCGCCTCATCTTAAAGAACAGGTGATTCAGAAACTCACTTTAGTGATGATAACTTCTTGCTTCTGGCCAAGTCTGTGGCACCTGTCAAAGCACTGGTCCTCAGCAGCAGGATTCCAGGCCTACAGAACAGGATTGGCTTTAGTATTGGGCTGCCGGGTGAGTTATGCTTAGCCCTTTCATTTCAACAACATGCACCATCTTTTTCTGACTGAATTCATAATGCTGACACTGCATATGTACTGAAGGAAAAAAATCCACTTCCCCAGTCACTCTGCTGAGAGGCAGGCATTCTCCTGTGTCACCTCACTCCACTTCTAATACTGGCTGAGTATCTCTTCGCTGAAATGCCTGGGACCATAAGTGTTTCAGATTTTAGTATTTCAGATCTGGGAATATTTGCAAAGGCTTTAATGGTTGAGCATCCCTGAACCAAAATTCTGAGATCCAAAATGCTCAAATCCAAAACTTTTTTGAGTGTTGTCCTCAAAAAGAGTCCAACTTCAGAGCACTTCAGATTTTTCAGATTAAGGGTACTCAACCTGCACCGTAAATACATGGCTTAGCATGGATGTCAGCACCCAATTAATCAAGTAATTTCTGATTTTTTCACTTTAAAGTGGGTCAGAGTATAAAAGTTTATACATTCTCTTAGATGACAATTTATAATAGATGCAATTCTTGGGTCCATTTATGAAAATGTTTTCTCACCCTCTGCTAGTCTTTGGTTCTTTTACTTTGCTCTATTCAGGAAACAAAAATACAAAACAAAAAAAAATCCCTAAAAACTGCTTAAGATTTTTGACAAGGTTTTCTATAGACTTCTGGTTAACACCAACGTAATAAAAACACTGCTTAAGCTGAAAAAGAAAATGATGATGTAATGAAATGCAGGAAATATCCAAAAAGATGGAGGTCTGTAATCTAGAAAGAGAGTAGTCAACTGGTTTTTAAATAGAATCACGAATTATCAAGATAAGGATCACCAGGATGACTGCAGAAATTGAAAACAGGGTATTTTTGGGGAAAGGTACATTATACAGCAAATTATGAGCCGAAAACAAAAACAATATCAGATGCATATATAGATGACAGTTTTACAATATGATTTATACTTAGGCTAACTGTTCCTTTCTTTTTTAAGTTCCCTAGGGATCTGAGGAAAAGGATGGTTTTGCTCTTGAGTTGTAATTTGAATTTGGGATTCTTTTTCAGTGTGGAAGTTAAATTTAAGGACACACTTAGCTTATGATTTTCTAGAACTGATAGGTATGATATTATCTGAATATTTTGTATTTCACAGACACATTTTAAAATTGTTACCACAAAGACACCAAGTCAAATGTCTTGCTATTGCACCTATTTTATCTAGCAACCTAAAGACAAGCTGGCAACATACATCTAATGTGACTATCAGAAATCCAAACTGATAGCTCCCATTCCCACATGTAGTCTATAGATTACGTAAATAAATAGTCTCACCAGAAGCTCATAATGGACACTATATACCACCCCTCTTACACAATGTTTGCATGAAAAGGTAAAAGATTTTCACAAATATTTTAATTGAATTTTGTCTTCCTGGGATTTGATTTTTGTTTTAAAGTTAGAAACATTTGTCTGTCCTTTGGTTGTTTTGTTTTTGCTGAACTGGGAGCTGAACTCAAGGGCATTTTACCACTGAGCTCTACCTCCAACCCTATTTATTTTTTATTCTGAGATAGGGTCTCACCAAGTTGTCCAGGCTGCCCTCAAACTTGCAATTCTCCTGCTGCAGCCTCCCAAGTTGCTGAGATTACAGATATGTGCTGCACATAGGCCAGAGAGTGTTTTTTAAAAGTATAACTGGTAATAGAGTGCGGTGGTGCACACCTATAATCACAGCAGCTCAGGAGGCTGAGGTAGGAGGATCACACAAGTTCAAAACTAGCCTCAGCAAGTTATCAGCCCCTAAGCAACTTAGTGAGACCCTGTCTCAAAATAAAATATAAAAATGGGCAGGGATGTGGTTCAGTAGTTAAGCATTCCTTGGTTCAATCACTGGTATCAAAAAAACCTTTATAATAATAAGTACTCTATTAATAACCTCTTCCTTATCTAGTACTAAGATTATATAAATAAGACAAAATAATTTGGTAATTTGTTCTAGAAAATTAAGATTTTTGCATAAGCACTGCATTAATATCGAACAATCTATAGTTATGGTGACTTTTTTGATACCCAGGGGTTGAACCCAGGGGCACTTAACCACTGAGCTACATCCCATCCTTTTTTATATTTTACTTTGTGACAGGGTCTCACAAAGTAGCTGAGGCTGGCTTTGAATTCATAATTCTCCTGCCTCAACCTCCCAAGCTGCTGGAATTACAGGCATGTGCCACTGCCCGTCGAAGCTAAGAATTAGTCCAAATGCAATTTAAAACCTCTGTCCTCAGATTGAAGAGATCTTAAATAATAACTATAAAACTCCTTTAAGATTTAAAACTTCACTCTAAAGCACTAAGGCAAATACAAACCTCTGCCAGCCACAATATGTGCCTATGAAAGCCTACATATGACTGGCTGGAATCTTACTGTGAAGGTCACCCTCAGTTGAGGGAAAAGAGGAAAAAAGCTTTGGTACACAGATGCATGAATCAACTAAAACCTCACCAGAAAAAAAGATGTGTAAGGTTCGTACACGCAGTGAGCCTGCAGTTCAGACACCAGGTGAGACCACACGCTGCATCTCACAACACAGGGCCATCTGCAGCCCACATAACACCCGGCACAAACCAGGATCACATCAGTTCAGCCCCATGTGTGTTCAGAATGTGCTACTGTGTGGACACCACCCCAGCCCGGCACTCAGACTTTAGCTTCCTTCCACCTCTAGGTCTGAAATGTACATCCACAAGTGACTGCACAACATTAGGCAACTTTCTACAAACACTCCATTAGTTATTTCTCCAATTGTGATCCCGACCACCAGAGTTACCTGTGATCAATGTTAAGAATGCAGATTCCTGAGTCTTACCCAAGACCTCTTCAATCTGAGGACAGAAGTCTTAAACTGCAGTTGGACTAATTCTTAGCCATACTAAAGCTTTACGATCACTATCACATAACAGGTGTCAGACTCCCATTGCCTGTACCACACCTTGACACTAAGCAGGGGCTCATCTCTCACAGGCCGAATGGACCACTTACGTGTTCAGTTAGTAGGTATTTTTATTCTGCACACAGAAGAGAAGCAGAATAGTACCACATAACAGTACTTAAGAACACACACTGTGACTCTGGTGTTCCCTACTGTTAGCTGTGTGAAGCTGGGCAGTTTACTTCTCTCCTTCAGTTCCCTCATCTATAAAATAAGGATGTTATTTCCCTCAAAAGAATATCGTGGGGATTTTAGTTAAATGTAAATCCCTTAAGAGAAAGCCCCCAACATACACATTTACTAAGCTATTATCTATTTCTAAAGTCTGCCTCAGAATCTTCATAATAATAAATATGAAGTATCTGCAAAAGAGTTTGTCTTTTGAAAAGCCTATAAAACTACTCACTGGATCCATTAAAAATACCCGAGAAGCTGCACAAAGATTCAAACCAACTCCCCCTGCTTTTAAGGACAGCAGCATGATAGTTGGAGAGCCTGCTTCAGTGTTCTGGAAACACTGAATAGACTCAGCTCTTTTCTTCTGGGCCATGGAACCATCCAGACGAGTGAACACAAATCCAGAGGCTCTAATAGGGACAAGGAGAGAAGTAACTCTTACTTTATTTAAAAAAAAAAAAAAAGTTAAATAGTAGTTCAATCAATTCTTTCACTAATGTATATATGTGTCTACTTATTCTTGCAGTACTGGGGATCCAACCCAAGGCCTTGCACATGCTAGGCAAGTGCCCTCCCACTGAGCTACATCTCCAACCCTAACTTACCTTAACAAACACTACAGAGGACCTACTAATATGCCAGCCACTGTGTTTTCTAATAAATTAGGGATCTGATCTTTTGAATCCTATGCTGCCACAAAACAGTCTTTTTTGTGACTCTGAACATCACTTCTGACAGATAAAATGACTAAAACTGGCAAAACATTAGATATTTTTCTTTGATTCAAATCAATAAAAGTATATTAAATCCTCTGAGTCAAAGTGAAAAACACTGAACTCACTTAAGTGGTGTTTCTATTAGAGACAGGAACGTTGTAAACTGAGAAACAACTAAACTTTTTATGTTTGGATTCTTCTTTCTTAAGTCAATCAAAGCATGCATTAGAGCATTAATCTGAAAAAAAAAATTAAGATACCCATTAGATTCCACTTTTAAATGGCAAAATTAACCCCACATGCTTAAAATTTTTATCCTGTTATTGTACATATTAATAGGATTCAGTTTATTTCTGTACATACATATAATATACACTGATCAAATTCCAAAATGTTGTCCAAAAAAGGTCCTGCCATGTTACTTAATTAAAAGGCAAAATGAGACTAAATTTTTTAAAAAAACTAAAAGAATACTACAATAAATTGAAACCCTCTCTTTCTCCTCTGAAATTCACCACATAAAGTAAGCGAAAAATCAGTAGCCAGAAAAAGGAAATTCAAAAGACATGATTAAAAGTAGAATGACTGTTTGTTACATGATGTGTAATCTCTTATATAAAAAATACTCAAATATCTGTACACGTGTACTTTACCTTTGAACTGGATGTCCATTCCATATTGGACTTTTTCTCACTGTCACATGCCAATTCTTCTGGAGGACATTCTAATAAATTGTCTCCATGTATATCATTTCTGCATAAAGGGCATTTAGCATGTGGCTGTTTAAGAACAAAATAAGGGCCACACTGGTTAGAGGAAAAGAAATATAAATTTGCCTAAACATTTTAATAGATGACAGACTCTGTATCTCTTGTGGCCAGCACTTTATTGAGCCAGATTCAGTCACCTAAGGTAGATCTGTACATGCTGAGCTCCAGCCAGCACGTACAGATGGAAGGGCTCATGGCATGGGATGAAGAAAGAGGACAGCGAGTGTGTGGCCTAGGGCTGGGCTGGGGCTCAGCGGCAGAGCACTCGCTTCGCATGTATGAGGCCCTGGGCTCAATCCTCAGCACTACAAAGCAATAAATCAACAAAGTAAAGTATTTGTCCATCTACAACTAAAAAATAAATATATAAAAAAAAGTATGTGGTCTTGACTGGCAGCAAGAGCTTGAAATGCTAAATATCACATCATTTGCAGGCAATTCTTATGACACCTTATACAGCTGTCCAGATCTGCCAACCAGTATCAGGTTTGTTCAAAGCAACATCTGTTGTCTGTTATACTAAGATCTGCTAGTAAAATTAGATTATATCTTAAATACCTAGATACAAATACTACTGCAATAAGAAAAGTTTCTGAAACTGAAACTCTTAGAAATCAGTATGCTAGAGTTACCTCTTGGGAGAAGGAAGATGGCAAAGGATTGGGAGGAGATACATGGATGTGTTTACCTTATGATAATTATAATTTTCTAACTGTACAACTGTAATTTATCCACTTTTTTTCTAAATGTATTCTATATGTCAAATCAAAATGTTTAAGAAAATTTGCACTAGCTGCAGGACTGCTTAAAAAGATTATTCTACCTCAAAAAAATTTACCACACAGAAGTATTTAGATCTACATTACCCAATATGATGGCAAATAACCATATGTGTCAATTAAGCTTTTTAAATGAGCCAAATTGAGGTGATAGGTGTATACAATACCACCAGAATTTGAACATCTAGTTAAAAATAATGTAATATATCACATTTTTATTTTAGATATACTGGATTAAAGTGTATTAAAATAAATTTCATGTTTTTTTCACAAAAAATATGGCTGCTATAAAATGGAAATTATCTTTCAGCCTTTCCTCATCAGTATATTTATTAGCAATGATCTAAACAGTACACAGAACTAGGATTACTGTCTGTAAAAAAGTGCCTCCCAAAAAAAATATATAGTTTTATATATATATATATATATATATATATATATATATATATATATAAAATAGTTAAAAGGGAATAACAATGAGAAATAAATCATCTATGAAGATACTGAAATAATTAATCATCGAAAAGGTCATTATTAAATATAAGTCGAAACTTCTATTTCCTTGGAACTGGGTTTCCATTACACTAAAGAAAGAGTAGGCACCACTCCATACAACAGTGATCCTATACTGAACAAAATACTTACCTGCTCATTCTGAATGACCTGACAAATACAAGGTTTACAAAACACATGTGCACAATGTGTTATCACAGGAACTGTTAAAGAATCCAAGCAAATTGCACATTCTTCATCTGAACCTGAGCTCAGAATTAGCTTCATCTTCCTTATTAACTTCTTTCTCAATTCTTCAGGTGTATCATTTCCTAGAGAAAAGGCTGAAAAATTAATTTCAGAGCAAGATTTATAACATGGCTAGATGAGTTAATCTACCTTACATAAGGCAAAGTTCTGTTTGCAAACATGTAGTCTTTTCATCTGTTCTTGACATGGCAAAAAGCTGGTTTAAATTTGAAATTTTAAGAAAAAATCAGAAGACAAAATAATAAATGATTCCTACCAAACCTCCTATAGAAGCATCATTACAGCTTGATTTGTTTACACTAGCAGACTAAAAGATCCAACTTGAACCTTTCATCTAAGGGTGTCTACCACTAGAAATCCTGCAAGAACCTTATAATTCCCTTTCTCTGGTAAAAAGTTCCTGAGTACATTCCCTGAGTACACTAAGCCCTTTAATAAACAATGTCCAGAGGGCAAAATGAAACAATAAACCAAATTTAAGCCACATAAAAAACTTCTCATTCCGATTTAAATTACTTCTAACAAATACAATGGCACACCTCCAACATACTTCTTACCTGAGGAGCCACTGGAAGACACTGCATTTGTAAGAAGGTGAGTATGACAACAAATCTGCCGCAGTCTAAGCAGAAGACCCAGGACATCTGCGTAGTGTGCAAGGACAGTTCCTTCATTAAAGTACCTAAAACAGAAATGTGTTACGAGAGAGATCCTCTAAACGACTTCTCTGGAAATCACTTCAAAACAAGAACAAAAGCCAGAAAAGCATACTTTAATTTAATGATACCAAAAGAGATTTTTTAACCACAGAGCACTACAGATGAGCAATGGCTGACAGCTGTAGGAAAAACTGGACAAGATGTTGAGGGATATGACCCACCAAACCACAATCCTTTAAAAGAGATGGCACAGACTCAGGGTGCACACCTGGTGCCCTGAGCTTCTCTGCATACGTTTATACCAAAGAAGGAAGGCAAGCTGCACGAGGAAGTGCAGGAACGCACTCGACACGCACGGGCCCAGTCCTCCACACCTCACAGCTCCAGGTCCTTGAATCTGTTATGTGAGCACCAACAAAGAACCTAGAACAGATGTATATCCCAAAAGTAAACTGAGATATTTCCTGCTGTTCTGGACATGGGTATGAACCTCACATGGACCTGGACTAGCAAATACTAGTTCAGTAAGAATTCAAGATACTTGAATGCTAAGTGATAATTAGCACAGAGCATGGAAGGCAGCAAAAGAAAAGTCACCAGAGAAACACTGCCATAGAACAAACAGAAATTATGACCAAGGATACCGCCATGACTTCATGTCACTCAATAAAACTCTTCTTCCTTAAAAAAGAATCCTAAGGCAACGACAAAGTGCTCTGAAAAGAAGACCTGGTTTCTACCAAAGCCGTGATGGGCCTGACCTTCCTGCAGCTCTTGTGCTGGGAGGATGCCCCACTTGTGCAGTCCTGCTCACTCTAGGCCCTAGCAGCACACACATCACACATGCTTCTGCTGGACCAGACTCCATTCCAACCAGTTCCTCATCTGCTGCAGTCAGTCTCGTCAGTTCCCACTCTCAGATTACCACATTTTGTTCCTTTTGTTGGCAAGTCCTGTTGACCAATTTCTCTATCCACCCTACAGACATCATCCTGTCACTCCCAACACTGTACCTTTTAAAGATAGCTGCAAAGTCAGCAGACCTTCCTCAGCCCCGATCCCACCTTCCTCTGGAGATGGCCAGCCTCACAGGCCACTGCCTGACTCTGGATGTTATTTGCTCCCACTAGGCTTCACTTCTTCTACACACCTGCTGTATTGTACTCTGGAGAATTCTCCTCTGTAGTACACATACATTCTCTTCCCCTTAGAAGCAGTTCAGGAGGTAGAGGCAGGAAGATCACAAGTTCAAAGCAAAAAGCAAGGTGCTAAGCAACTCAGTGAGACCCTGTCTCTCAATAAAATACAAAACAGGGTTGGGGATGTGGCTCAGTAGCCAGTGGCACTGAGTTCAATCCCCAGTACCACCCTCCTCGCTAAAAAAAGCAGTTACCCAAACCCATTAAAAGCTGAACTAACAATCAAGTATCAACCCTACATACCAGTCTCATTTTTTTCTTCCTTTTAAAGATAACCTTAGTGGAATCCAGTTCATCTCTGCAGTCTCCATTTCTTTGTAATCTACTTCCTCATCTGAAAGTTTACCCTGGTAACTCCTGATCACAAGATTAATGGCCCTTTCTGAGTTCTCTACACCATGTGACACCACGGATCACTCCCTCTTTCTTGTACTATAACTTTCTTTTCTTTCTTCATACTTTTATCTTTAACGAACCTACAGTAATTTTTAAAAATCTTAATTCATTTAAACGTGCACATCCTCCTTATAGTTTTGGTCCTTAATAAGTTTAACTATCTCTCTCTCTAGCCATGAATCCATCCTCTTCCAAATGGTTTTTATGTACTACCATGACACAGTCAAAAATAGAAGCTAGGTCTTCTGACAAGCAATTCAAAACTTATGATTTTATGTAGACGAAATTTTTTTCCAGCCTAAAGGAATTACTTACCTGGTAAAATACACTATTATGTCATTCACTTCAACTATAATTTTTAAACAAAAAAAATCCTATAGACCACAGAAGAAAATTATCTTTCAATAAATTTGCAACTTTACTGCTAACATATATTAAAATAACAACAACAATAACAAAAAGACGAAACGTGATTCAGTTAGTGAGAAACAAAGAAAGAAAAGTTTGAACACAGCTCTTTCTCCATACCTTCCAATAGTAGCTTTGCCTTCATTTTTCACAGATTGATAAATCTTTCTCTCTTCATCTGAAAGTGTAATGTGCTGAATAAATACTTTACGTTCTGGTAACTCCAAAACAGGCTTTCCTTTAATTTTGCTTGTCTTTGTTCTTCTAAGTGTGATATTTTTAATTAGGGACTGTAAACGTCTAGTCAAAATAAAAAAAAATAATTAAAAAAAACATTTTTATTTCTACATAGCAAGAAAAAATTTAACTTATTATTATTTTATAACCTTAGTAAAATTTTTTTTAATCCTTATTTGAGGTCTTATCCAATCTGATAATTACAAAACTATTCTACAAGCAGAAAATTATTACAACAAATGCACTGAAATTTTCTCAACTAAATACTAATCAGTTTAATCTTCTTAAATCCTGTCTTTTCTTAAGCTCTTCTCTCCATTTTTGTTCCAGTCATTAATTCTCAATTGTCTCGTCAACTACATCATCAACAGTCAAGACTCAGATTCTTATGCTATAATCACAAGGTGCTTCATTTAATGTTGCAAGAATACAAATATGGGTAAGAGCCAACCTTCTGTGAGCCAAAATAAACATTTTTACTTAATAAGTTAAAAAAAATCCTATTTTCTATAATATGAAAATCAACAGTGTTATATGAAAATCTAAAGTGATTTTAATAAATAACAAGTCCCCAAAATAAAAACATGATGTGAAAATTCAGGGGAGAAACACCTTCTTAGTTCCACAATCTTTACAGCTCTCTCTCAGCATCAGAATTAAAGGAGGCACACCACCTCTTTAAGAACTGATGTACACTTCCCCAACAGTGAAATACAAAAACAATTCCTTAACTCGAATTTAAATAGCTGGTTCAAGTGGTCAGTTCTGCCAACTAAGTTAATGGCTTCTGAATCTTTTTCACTCTAACTCATAGTAAGAAACACATTTTACTGCACCTGGAAAACATACACAAACAAATATATTTCTCAAAACAATATTTACCATGTATGATACTCTTTGAACTTTTATTTTCTCTTCTACTGTTTCATTTTCTTTTCAATGCTGACTACAACCTTTATAACAATTTCATAACCCACTAATGGTCCCAAATCCTCAGTTTAAAAATCACTGCTCTAAGATAAAAAACTTGAAGCACATTATCCTAGCAAATGGCAAATGGCTGCCACCAAATTGAGTTTTCATTTATGTGTTCAACTTTTATCTGTGTCCACCAGAAACAACTATGGGAAACGTCCTCTCATAAAAAAACTTGTTGAGGTCACTGAATCACATCATCAACAATCATGTATAAGACTATATGAATTATGACAATTTAATGCTTATAGGATCCTGAAGGATACTATTTTTCCTATAACTGTTAAATCTGTTAGTGGGGGCTCCAGTGGCTAAAAGCAACACCCATAGCACAAAGCCCTGCCTTTTCATTCAGTTTGGCTAAAATAGAAAAAAAGCAATTATTGGTGATTAGAAATCTTTTGTCTCCCCAAATAAAAGTCACTATGCTCTAAGAGTCAAAGGGACACAATGTATACACTTTTTAGAAAGGGAAGTCAAGAATCAAATAAAAAGAATAATGAAAGTGGTTCCACTGTCTGTCACTAACACACACATCAGCTATTATGAAGTGACTTACCTAAGTCCTCCTTCATCTCCCATAGTGACGGGACGCTGTATTGTTCTATGCCACCATTCTCTATCAATAAATGGTTTAAGTTTTAAAAAGGACAGAAGAGACCACAAGTCCTTCAAAGAATTCTGGATAGGAGTTCCTAAAAATAAAAAGAAACTGTTATAACTCCTCTTTTTTCTTTTTTGATAGTTCTAGAATCAAACCTGGGACTTCACAAGTGCCAGGCAACCACTCTTACCCCTGGATCATACCCCAGTCCCTATTGATGCTTAAGAACATCTGTCCTGTACAACCATATGAAACAGGTGAAAACAGACACTCTGGATGAGGCACACCACTAACAGCTGTGCCTGCAGTCCTTTGTTACACATGTACACATCTCAAAATATGATTTTACTCTAATTTTTAGCTGTCACTTGTCAACATAAGGGGAACAGAAAAATCCAGTAAACTCCACTTTTTCTTCATTGCATACCTAGCTTATTTGGTTTTAAAATAAGTAGCACCAGCAAGAAAAATAAGCAACTAATATAAATTTATATTCCCTTTCTCATCTTCCAGTAAAGGTATCATGAATAGCAAACAGGCTCTAAGATGGACAATAGAAAAGTCAAGATTCTGATTATAGGATTGGAGTGTCTATTCTTCCCTGAGGTTCAAGAATAAGCAGGTTCCATAAATAAACTATGACCCCAAGGGTGTTATAAAATGAGCAATTATGAAGAACAAGTCAAAACACTTGATTAAATTGTTTCTATCATTAATTTTAGAATAGACTTTTTAGTCAATTACAATGTTATAACTTAATAGTTATAACACCAACTTAATAGTTAAAAAGTTTTTTTTCTTTCTTTCTTTTGCAGTATGGAGGATCAAACCTAAGGCCTTCTATTTTAGATGAGCATTCTACCACTTACATCACAGTCCCCAAAATTATTATTATTTTTTAATTTAACACAAGATTCCCACTTTTACCACTTTCACATAGGTGCTAGCTGGAGTAACAAGTGCATCCAAATTGGAAAAGGAGTTAAAAGTGTCACTGTTAACAGAGAATATGGTTTTCTATGTTTAAAAACAAAAAACAAAAACTCCTCTGGCTCAAAAAACAAAACAAATTTGGCAAAGTTGCAGGATACAAAATCAGTAGTAGCATTTCAATATGGCAATAGCAAATTATATGGAAAAAAAATGAAGAAACCCCATTTACAATAGCTATAACCAACCAAGCGACCTAGGAATAAATATAACCAAAGAGGCAAAAGATGTCTACAAGGAGATCTAGGAAACAGTGATAAAATTGAAGAGAACACAAAAATAAAGTGAAAAGCATCCCGTCACAGATTGGAAAAATCAATACTGACAAAATGTCTGTAGCACCCACAGTGATTTACAGATTCAGTGCAATCTGTATCAAAATATCAAAGACATTCTTCAGAATTAGAAAAGGAAAAAAAATTGTAAAATTCACATGGAATCTCCGCCAGGCACAGTGGCACACGCCTGTAATCCCAGCAGCTCAGGACGCTCAGGCAGGAGGATCGCAAGTTCAAAGCCAGCCTCAGTAATGGTGAAGTACTAAGCAACTCAGTGAGACCCTGTCTCTAAATAAAACAAAAAATAGGGGTGGGAATGTGGCTCAGTGGTTGATTGCTCCTGAGTTCAATCCTCAGTTCCAAAAAAGAAAAAAAAATTCACAAGGAATCTCAAACTCTGGAACAGCCAAAGCAATCTTGAGTAAAAAGAATAGAGCAAGCACTATATTACCTGACTTCAACCATCAACTGAAAGTCTGTGAGAATCAAAATAGCATCACACTGGCATAAAAACAGATACACAGGCCAATGGAACAGAACAGAGACCGTGGAAGTAAACCTACAAATCTATCCACATAATTATCAACAAAGGTGCTAAGACCAGGTACAAGAAAAGGACCTTTTCAATAAACAATGCAGAGAAATTTGGATATCTTTATGCAGAAGAATGAAACTAGACCAGATCCTTGTATTCCATCAGTTTCAAAAATCAACTTGAAATGGATTAAAGACTACAGGCAAGACCCAAAACTACTAGAAGAAAACAGGTAAAATGTTTTAGAACACTGGAATGAGCAAATATTCTTTCTTTTTTTGATAAGATCCCAAAAGATCCCCAAAATGCAGGAAACAATTAAAAATCGACAAATAGAATTACATGAAGGTAAAAAGCTTCACACAACAAAGGAAACAATCGTCAGTGAAGAGGTGACCTATAGAATGGAAAAATTATCTGCCAACTATGTATGTGACGGGGGTTGCCGTCCAGAATATATAAGGAACTCTGGAAATTAATAGCAAAAGAAAAAATTGTTTTTAAATGATCAATACATCTAAGTAGACATTTCCCAACAGAAGATTCAGAAATAGCCAACAGGTATATGAAAATGATGCTCAACATCATTACTCATAAAAGAAATGCAAGTCAAATCCACAATGAGACACTGCCTCACTCCATTCAGAATGACTTATCGAAAGACAAAAGATAATTCTTGGCAAAGACATGAGGAAAAGAGAGCCCTTGTGCACTGTTAGTGGGAATGCAAATTAATACAGTCATCATGGAACATGGAAAGCAGCATGGAATACAAAGTCATCTCACAGAAGTGTGACCAGAGACTGAGGAGAGGAGCAGGGAGGGAGTAGTAAAAGCTTCCTCAGTGGGTACTAAGGTACAGCTAGAAGAAGTAGGTGGCTACAGACAATATCAACACACTTCAAAAGAACCAAAAGAAAGGACTTTATTTTCACCCAAAGAAAGACAAACAATTAAGGAGATAGTTAGGCTTACCCTGAATAATGACACAACGTGTACATATCTTGAAAAGCCACATAATACCCCATAAATATTTTAATACTTATAGGTCAATTTTAAAAAGAAATCAAAACGGTGTAAGGTAAAAATAAGTCTGATGTCATAATTACCTGTTAATACCCATCTCCTTTCTGCTTCTAAATCGAGTGCAGCTTTTGTCTGCTGAGCATTTGGATTTCGAATGGCATGGCCTTCATCCAGGATCACTCTTAGCCATCTTATGCTATGTAATGGACTGTCCCCTTTAGTCTGAAAGAAATGTGTCATGACAGTTGAAAAACACAGGAATAGGACATAGTACTTCATATAATTTGCTTAATAATATTTGCTCTTTTTCTTTAACATCAACACTGCTTTTAATTCAAGAACTATGCCCGTTAAAGTACTGAACACTCACAAGCTGAGCATTATTAGAGGTAAGAACACTGAAGCCCAAGGTGCCAAGTTTGCTGTCCAAAGAACCACCATTAGGAAGCAGAAGAACCTGCCTTCAAACCCAAGTCTAGTCTAGCTCACTAAAGAATCAAACTGTAGGATACCCTGAACTACTCTGCATCAGATTTACAATGATGATAAACAATTGCCAGTTATAAGAATTCTTTCAATGTAACAACCTTGATTTCTTTTATATAAAGGTAACATTCTTACCCAAAGTCTGAAATTATTTTCCTCCATTTTTTTTAGTATTACTTATTGGTACATAATAATTATACATAGCAGTGGAATTCATCATTACATATTCGCACTTGTGCACAATTTAATAATATAATTTGGTCGATTTTACTCCCCAGTACCTCTCCTCTCCTCTTCCCATCTCCTTCCTCTATTCTATTGGTCTCTCTTCTATTTTCATGAGGAAGACGGAAATTGTGACTAAAAGGTATTTTAAAAAATGTTTTAACTGAACAATTTGAATTATATATGTTTAAAAAAAAAACTAGATTCCTAAAAGAACTGGGAAACTTATTATCTGCAGCTGCAGAAAAGCTATTTTTTAAACCAAAATATTAATCAAATCATTACAACAGAAAACAATTTTCCAGAATAAAAAAATTTTCATTTATAAACTGCTATATATACTTGTTACAAATCCAAAGTTAAATTTTAACTAAAAACATTCTAAATGAAAAACATTTCTAAATTACTATCTAAACAAAATACAATCTTTCCTTTTTTAACCAAGTTTTTAAAAAATCCTACTATTCTCTACATAGTAGGTATTAGAATAAAAGAGTATACAGTTTGAATTTTAGATTACTTCAGAAACCTGAAGAATGATAACAGTCCTTAAATTCAACCTTAAATCTCTAAATATCAGCACACTTACTCCATAGTCATGAGTTAAAATGTTGTAGGTAGTCAAAACAATATCCTGTTTTGAAAGCAAGGCTGGGTCTCTAATACGATCAGGACCATAATAAACATAAAAATTCAAGTGCACCTCTGATTTTATATGTTGCCCAAATTGGTCCTAGAAGAAAATTAGAAAATATTTTTAATAATGTATTATGTACATAAGAAATACAGTCCTGGCAATAGTGTCACAAATCAAGCTACCACAATGCATAAAATAAATTTTTTTGTAATCTAAACTAACAAGATAATAATGATAACTATTAATTATTATTACATTGTCAGAAAAACTGACACATACAGTAATCCTGGACCTACCAATATAATAAAAAGCTATTCCATTTTAAAGAGAAAAAGTTATCAAGCTTCTTTCAAACAGAAATTAGCATTTTCAAAATTTAATGTTTTAATAAAAATGTTTTTCTATGAATTAGGAGACTCTTAATATCAAGATTAAACATAATAAACCAGCAACTAATATTTCCAAAGGTGTAGGGCAAGATTCAAGCACAGTACCCGTTCTTTCCTTCACTTTACTAGGCCTGCTATTTGCCAAATATTAACCATAACAATGGTGCAGCTGAAAAGGGGAAAAATCTAATGTATGAAATATGATATGTCAAGAGCTTTGTAATGTTGTGAACAACCAATAAAAAAAAATAAAAAATAAATAAAAAAAGAAAAGGGGAAAAATAACAAACTGTCCCTGTCTTGTTTTTTTGTTTTATTTTTATAAATCATGAAAACAATTGACCTGGAAGATTTTGAGGGGAAAAAAAAAATTTAGGATTAGGATGTACAACAAAAATAGAAGATGGTCAGCGACAGCGCCTATCACTCACTATTCAGAGTGCGCTCACGCTTTTATTGGGAGGAAGGGCATACTGCAGCAAAGAAAAAGTAATGCGAATGTGTCAGACTCTTGGCGATTATTAAAGCTTTCTGAGTAAATGCAAATCTCATTAAAATGCCTCATAATTTTTTAAAAAATACCACGCTTTAAACGAAAGAAGACAAACTTAACAGGACCCAGAACAAGGGCAAAGAAACAGTGGTTAGAAAGTTAGGTAGCAAGACATTTGTGAGAGCAAAAGAATATCAAACTTCAATGATGACTTTTAATTTGTAAATTATGTTCATCCTATTTATAAAAAGGTTTGGAAATGGGTTACAAAATAAGACACACAAAGAAAGGCAGAAGAACAAAAACAAGCTCAGTGGTCTCCACAAGGAGGTCAAAGAAGCTCTCCCAAAACTTTCCAGAAAAGGTGAGAGTAAACCCCAGACAACTGTGGGCTGAAGAGAGCCTGCAATGTGAAACAGAACCTGTTTCCCAGTAAACAGGAAATGTGAAATGATAAAGGTAAAAATATAGAGAATTTTCAAGAAATTTGGTGGCATAGAAATCTAGTACTGAGAAAAAATTCTATATAAGCAACCTGAGTCAGAGGGTGGCAATAAAATAGCACAGTGTATTTCTGAAAGAATTAGATTGAGAATAGAAGAAAATCAACTTTCCTGAAGAAAAAACTACCATTACTCTGTTTCTGGATACTCTGCTGGGTTCCATATGAATACAGAAAATGTCAGGTGTTATGGTTTAGATATGAGGTATCTCCCAAAAGCTCCTGCTAATGCAGGAATACTCAGAGGTAATCAGCCTGTCTTAGTTTAAATGGATGGGTCGTAACCATAGGCAGGTGGGGCGTGGCTGGAGGGGGCTGGTCACACAGGGGGTGTACCCTGAAAGGGTGCACCTTCCCTATGGTCCCTTCACCCTATCCCTTTGCTTCCTGCCCACCATGAGCTGACAGCTTTCCTCTGTTGGGACCTTCCCAGTGATGTGCTGTCTCACATCAAGCCCAGAGCAATGGACTCAGCCATCTACAGACTGAGATCTCTAAAAACACGAGCCCCAAATAAATGTTCCCTTATCTAAGTTGTTCTTGTCAGGTGGTCACAGAAAAGAAAAAGGTACTAAAACATTAAACAACATGTCTAAATATCCAGAATTAATATGTGATAGAAGATGGACTGTCCCTAGGCCTTAATCCTTTAAGTGGATTATTTTCCTTATTTGGAGTGGGGGGAAAGGAAGATCAGTTTTCATGTTCTTTAGAACATTATGTCACTCACTTGGGAGACAGCAAGCAGCTTGCTGAGAGACTGAAAAATTCTAACTCTTTACCTTGAACCCCTATATGCCCAATCATCCCTCATTCCTTTCAAATTTCACATAATCTCAGTAGGAAAGACTTGGGAAGTTTCATTTACTATGTTTATATTACTCAAACTTTGGTTTCCAAATATAAAATTATAAAGAAATACTGATGCTGTGAGTGGTGCACGCCTGCAATCCTAGCAGCTCAGGAGGCTGAGGCAGGGGGATCACGAGTTCAAGGCCAGCCTCAGAAACACAGAGGCAGTAAGCAACTCAAAGAGACGCTGTCTATAAATAAAATACAAAATAGGGCTGGGGATGTGGCTCCGCAGTTGAGTGCCCCTGAGTTCAATCCCCAGTGCCCCCTGCCAAAATAAATAATTAAAAAAATAAAAAGAAATACTGATAACCCAGTTTTAAAATACATCCCTATATACACGCCTTTAAAGAATCATAATTATATTGTTTATGCTTCCATTAATAATGCTATGCCTCACCCTACAACAGCCATTCAAATGTGCGTGTACTGCCCTTCCCAGGAGAAATCACACATCAAAACAAAGTTTTATTAGAGCAAAAAAGAGGAATAGATCACTAAAACTATCTAGTCTTAAGAGGAAAAATGGATGCACTGAGATAAGAAGTATTTCCTTTTTTAAAAAACAAATAAGCCAAAAACTTAAACAGAAAAGCCCTGCCACAGCAAACAAGCCCATAAAGTGAAGGAGAAATCCATTCAGTCAAAACTATCTAGTCCTAAGAGGAAAAATGGATGCACTGAGATAAGGGGTATTTCCTTTTTTAAAAAAAAACAAATAAGCCAAAACTTAAACAGAAAAGCCCTGCCACAGCAGGCAAGCCCATAAAGTGAAGGAGAAATCCTTTCAGTCAACACCAGGCCAAGAAGAAAAAGCCAAGAACAGACACTAGACGATCACTATCTTTCCCAATGCAATTCCGACCACTGGTGGTAAAAGCCCGATGACAACAATGAAGAGTAAGTGAAAGCCCCTGGCAGGACGAACCTGCAGCATGGCAGTGAAGGCGAGCAGAGGAGCACCAGCAGAAGTGAGGTCTGACAAGAGGACAGTGGAGTAGGATGAAGCAGCCCTAGTGTGCTGCGTGGACACCAGTGGGAAGAGAGCAGATTATCAACAGAGGGGGAAAAGGAGAAAAGGCAAAGGCAGAAAAGATGGAAAACAATGTACACACTGAAGTACTGGTCTTAAAAAGAGGTGAAAGACCTCCTCTCAGATAAAAGGAGCAAAGATAGAGAACTGATAACCTCAGAGGCAGCAAGAATGCAGGTTCATATACAGGGGACGCCACACAGTGCTTTCAAAAGACTCAGTATTTCATTACAATGTGAGGTCTTAAGCGCAAATTGGACAGGAAGCAAGCAGCACTTCCCATGTTATGTTTTGGAAAAGAAGCAATCTGTCAGGTGGGCAGGTGGGGGGATAAACTCCTCTGGTGAGTAACCTTGAAAGCACAGGCTCAGGAGTCCTAGTATTGGACACAGTACCCAAGTTCCATCATGTTTCCTGGGTGATGTTACTCAAGGTACTTAACCTCTATGTTTCAGTTTGATCACCTGATAAGTGAAAATAATAATTGTGAGGATTAAATAGAAAAATCTATAAAAAGAGCTTAAGAACAATCAAAGCAAAAAGCACCTGTGTTATAAAAATAAGTAACTATGCATGCAATTATCAGAAAAAGAAGTTTTGATAGTCAGTTGGTAAACATGGTGAAATATTAAATTATGTATCCTTTCTATTCAGGGAACAAAAGTGGCAAAGGCAAAAATATAACCAAATCTCACTTTAGCAACTGAAGTTCTTTAGCATAAATCTTCAAAGAAAAATTACTTCAAATCAGCAAACATAATCCCAACTCACCTAACACAAAATGATGAAAAAACATATTTCTAACAGAATACATTTTATAAGACAAATATAAATTACACCACATTTTAAATGAAGACTTCAAAGACTTACAATCCAGTTGCTCAACACAGAAAGTGGGCAGATAATCAGTGTTGTTCTTGGTCTCTCTTCAACATCAGTTTTCTTTGAACCCTCCACTGAAGATGCTCCTGAGGACAAATCATTGACAAAGCCTTTGACTACTTTTATTTTATTTTGGGGGTGGGGGAGACATACATGTCAATAAGGAGGTGGCAATCATCTGCCTCATTAGAAGAGAAATTGAGTAGAATTAAAATGAAGTGGATGAACTTGTGTCTGTAGCCATGAAGAAACAGAAACTAAATTTTACCTTGTCACTTTAAAAACCTAAAACCCCAGAGAATGTTTATCAGAAGAGCCAGCTGGATGTGCCTGGAAGGATACAGAGGCAGCAGTCTGTGACACTGCCGGGTGTGCACAGCCTACACTGCTATTTGCAATGGTTCTACACCAAGCTGGCCCCAAGTGATCTTTACTTTGCTACAACAACTTGTGCATTCCTCCCCGCATTACATAAGGGCAGCCCTCTGTCACCCACAGGATATGGTCAAAATGACTCAGGTGACTTATACTCCAGTGAAGGAAGCGGGCCACAGACTAAGTATGTAACATCAGGCAATGACAATGTGAAGAAAAAATTAAATGTGATGTGAGGACAGAAACTGTGAGCTGGAGGAGGTCTGAGAGGGAGGGTTATAGAGGGTGTTGCTTTTTGGGTGACAATCTCTTAGAAACCTAAGTGAAGCAAGACAGCAAGCTGAGCACATATCCAGGGACACTGGGCTGGACACGAAAGTCCTAATAGCAGTTGATGAAAGCACAGAAATAAGACACATTTGCTGAAATGCCAGTGTATCAAACAGATGAGACCAAGGGGCAGAGACACACACTGCCCCAGATCTCTGTATCCTTAGCTCAATCTCTTTCCATCTCAAATACTTATTCTTAAGCAATGTTTTCAAATGAGCTACAAAATACAAAATTATAATAAAGATCACTAATATTCTTCAATAAAAAGCAAATTTTAATCATAACAAAAGCTAAATGTTTATTATAATTCAATTGAAATCAAATTAAGTAATCACACTTTAAAGCAATTATAAAATTACTCTTTTGTGTCTTCACTAGAGAACTCCCTGTGCTTATTTATGCCTTTGTAAAACAAGCACAGTAGGAAAAAAAACTGAGGAAAATGACATCAGGATATGGCTCTTCCCTTTGCTCTATTTTCTAAACTTCTTTAATATGGTTTAATAACTTTTGTCATTTAATTTTTCCTTGAAAAACAGAAAAAACTGGAAAACTAGCAGATTCACTGACCCCTTTTCAAGGTTTTCTTCTTTGTTGCAGGGCTAGGTGAAGTCAGTGCACATGCAAAGGCTGCATCTTCTTTGACCTTGGAAGATCCTGCTGATGTAAAACCACAGCCAATCAGATACTTTACAGTGACACCTTCCCTGGGCTTTATGAGAGGAAAGAGATCCCATTTTTACAGCATGTTACGAGCATATATTATTGAATAAAAAAACTATCTGGTAACAAAAATTGTCACCTCTGACAATAACTGTGTCTCTCTAGCTCACAGAAGGGATGCAACCACTCATGGTAAGACTACTGCTTCAAAGAACAGTGAGAGGAGGAACAGGCCTACACTCTGGGGTGAAAAAAAGTTTTTCAAGGAAACAGATTTTTGACTCCTAATAACAAGGCCACCAAATTTCCAGATCAGTTCAATGATGATCAGTTTATTTCCAAATGCAATATAATTTCTTAATTCAGTAGGAAAACAATATGATCTGAATTAAAGAAGAATAAAGTAAACAATGTTTTGGAGATGCCAGGCATAGTGGCATCGTATGCAATATGAGCATCTTAGGAGGCTGAGGCAAGAGGATCCAAAGTTGGAGGAGACCAGTCTCAGGAACTTACCAAGACCCTATCTCAAAATAAAAAATAAAAATGACTGAAAAAGTAGCTCAGTGATAGGGCAACTCTGGGGTTAAACTGTCCCCCACGTTGGGGTTGCGCACACACAGGGTTGGGATGTTTTAAGGATAGAGGAAAGAAATAAAGCTATTTATTTTTACATCCTTTAAAGAAGGGAATATTAACAAAAAGGTACTCCCAACTTAACTTTGTGAATTACTATTTATACATAAAAATACAATATCTTATTGAAGTTATTTTTTTAGTAGAAAATTATTTTAAGTTGATCTAAGTATGACCCCTTAGATTTTAATTTGAAACTACTTATTGAATTTTCCTTATTTAATTCATTTAACACATATGAAGTTCTGTGAAGAGTTCAAATGTAAATAGAAGCAAAGTTGAAGATATATTACTCAAAATTCCCTATCTTGGGAAACACAAACCAGTAGGGTTTTACTTTAATAATCATTAAGTGTGGACTATTAGTACTAAGAAGGTACAGGACACACATACCTTTTGCCCGGCTTTTAGTCTCTGACTGTATATTTTTCAGTTTGCCTAAAACAAAACCAAAATAAACATTAAAACGGGCATGCAAGGCTAAAATACAGACACATTACCCAACCCAATCCCCTGCACATTAATTACCTTTGGTTTTCTGAGGCAATTCACTTGCTTCAATTTCCTCTGAATCACTGCTTTCAACGTACTGGACAGTAATTTTTCTTCTAAAATTTAGTATACACAAAGAAAATCAATCCAAAATGGGATATGACACTCTTTTAGTAAATGGAATTCAAATGCTTTTTCATCTGTTTATTTTTTTAAATATTTTCAAGAGAAAGATTTTATTTGACTTATAAAAGTCAAATCTGTCAAAAGCATCTGTTTTCATAACCAGATGTACTTATTTATAAAATACATATCATTAATATTAAATTTAAAAAACTAAGTCAAAAAAATAATCATTCTAATAATGAATTCAATATTTTATAGTTCAAATAACACCTTTATGTAAAACTAAAAAAGAAAAGGTCCTTATCAAAGCAACTACTTCAATATAAAGAAATAAGCAACCAAAGGCAAAATGATTCATCATAATGGAAAATTTCCTAAATTTCATATAGAAACATATAATTGGTTAAGTGGCTAGGAACAACGGATCCTGCAGTGAGACCAGCCAGACTCAAATCCTCATTCTGCCAATAGTTTGCTGAGACTTTAAGCAAGCCACCTTATATGTTCCTACGTCACAGTTTTCTCACTTAGCGAGTGGGGGTAATGTGATCCTCCTGGTAGGATCAGAGGTGCCTGCTGCACAGGAGGCACACCCCACACCAGCCACAGGGAGTGCACCACATGCTGCTAAACTCAGTACTGAACTCTACTGCCTTTTACCCGGTACAGTCACTACCAGTACCACGTTAGCTAGGTTCACAGCTCAGATCCACGGACCTGAGATTCAGATAAGAGGAAAACTGACAAGTGCCGGTTCTGGGTTCAGTTCTGATGGGTACCACTGATAGAATCATCACCCATGATGGTTAAGGGACTGCTGTTGGCAGGACTCAGGCACAGCATCACACCTACAGACACCACAGAAAATTGTGCCACAAAAGCCCAGTATGTGCACAGCCTTCAGAGAGTATAAATGAAGTTGTTAAAATTCAAGGTAGATCAGAGGGGTATGATGTATTTTACTAAAATTCTTCCCATATTGTAGCCTAAGTCAGTATAACTACCTAAATGTCTTATTTCCATTATAGTGAACTTAAAAAAAAAATTTGAAATGAGCAAAAGAATGGTTCTGTCAAGTCATTCAATACATAATTCTTTAATGTTCATTCCCTAAATACATTAAAAAAAAAACAAACTATAAATCTAAACAAAAACAAAAAACTCAGGAGCTTGATCTTCATTACTAAGTGAAAGAAATAATAAGTGGCAGAAAGATGAGTGATTATTAACTCACTTCTTCTATAGATCAATATTACTTTTCTTCAATTGTAAAAATGAGAACAGACTAACCAAGTCAGTGATTCTGGCAATAAGAAAGTATCTGAAATAACTATGTAACTGAGATAAAACGGTCATCTTCCTTTCGTATATATAAGAAAAAGAGTTTAAATTAAAACAGCTCATTTAATCAAACCACAAAAAAATTTACCTTTTGGGGCGAGAGCTAGACAATTCTGACATGGAACACTTTTTCTTCTCCTTGATATGTGAAATACTGGGTTCTTCACTACATCTAGATCTTTCTATTTCAAAGAAAAAGTCAAATATACAGATAATTATCCAATTGTCTTAAACCAGCAGTACCACCTCTTAAAATCTTGGTTTTACAATTACTGATTTTCTGTTTTCTCAACATCTTCACTTCTTTCAAATGCCCTGTTTTTTCCATGAAACAGTCAGTTGTAGTTATTCTACATTTTCCCAACCTAGAACCTTCAATTTCTTGGGATGCAATTCTTTCCCAGGAGTCACACAGCCAGTTCCCACACTGGATGAATTCCTCTGTACCATGGAGGCCCAGGCCACCAAAAGCTGTGGTAGGGGAGGGGTTCACAAAACAGAACAGAATCACACACAGCTGCTGTCAATCACTAATCAACTTTCCAGATCCTGGCTGTCACTTTGTTACTTATCAACTCCTTCCTCCACTTCCCACAGCCATTCTCCACAATGACCACACTATACCACATCCTCCTAGATTTATCTCCTTGTATACCTAGACCACCTCGTTCCCTTTACAAGGAAAAGCAGATGCCATCGCCTAAGTCCCAATTCTCCTGCCTTTTTTTAATGGCCTTCCTCTTCTACTTATTCCCACCTGACTACTTTATTTCTAATGTCAGCTCATCCAACTGTTCTCTCATGCCCATCTCCTTCCTCAAGCCTACTAAGCTTTTTCTTAGTTATATCCAAAAATCTTCCAGCCTACAGATTTCTTTCCTACCACCACAAAACAAAACCCTACCTGCAGCTTTGTTCACTCTAAAAAAGATTTTCCTATTTAATTTTCCTATCCCCAATAGCACAGTTACTTCCAAATAATCCTCTTATGATTCTTACCTAAAATACGTTCCGTCTTACTCTGCTTTAACCAACCTTCAGAAATTGACTTTGTGAAGTCATATCACTACTAAATCCATATATCTCTTTTCTTTTCTCCTTGGACTTCAGAATGTGGCTCTAACCTATCTTTCTAGCTTAATCTGCTGTTATTCTTGCACAATGCATTATAAATAACATGAAAACACTGAGGTCCCAAAACAAAACATATTCTTTATTTTTTTCTTAAACTGTCCTTTCATGAAATTATTTTTCTTCATCCAAAAATGTTCTTCCTAGCTTTTTGCCTATTGTATAATCACCAAATCACTTCTGTAATAAAACTTTTCCTGACAGCCAATTCCTGTGAGGTCTTTCAGAAAGAGATCCTAAATTTTTGTATATTAAAGAAGAAATTGCAATTTATTAGCTGGAAAAATGTAAATCAAATTATCAGGTCATAGCTGAAATTAACGCTTACCTTTGCCTTGCCCATCTGCCTTTTCAGTGGAACTGTTTCCTCCAAGTTTCTCAGACTCATCTTTAACATTACATTCCTTACATTCCTGGGTGAAAAGGCATATTTCTTTAATGGTACTAATAGTTTTGTTTATTTTGGGTACACAGGACTGAACCCACTGAGCCACATCCCTAGCCCTTGTTATTTTATTTATTTATTTTTTTAATTTTGAGACAGGGTCTTGCTAAGTTGCTTAGGACTTTGCTAAGTTTCTGAGGCTGGTCTCAATCCTCCTGCCTTAGCCTCTGAGCCACTGGGGTTACAGGAGTATGTCACTGCACTAGGTCTATTATCAGTTTTAAACAAATTTAAAGATCCTGTCTTGTACTGCTTTACTTTCTTAAACTGTCCTTTCATTACTTTTTCTCTTGAAATCTGGAGCAGACAGATGCAGCAGTGCAGGTCCCAGAGAGCCCTCCACTTTACTCTATCAGAAATTTCCAGCCATCCATGATTCTCTCATTTTCTCTTCAGGTGTATCCTCTCTTGTTTCAAAATGCATCAATGTATACATGAATTTAAAATAATCCTATAAAAGTAGAATTTTGAGCACTTCATAAAATCATTAAATTTTACTAAAAATGTGGTTGGAACGAGGCACGGTGGTACATGCCTGCAATCCCAGTGGCCAAGGAGGCTGAGGCAGGAGGATCACAAGTTCAAACCCTTCAGAAGGGTTTGAACTAAGGTTCACAAGCCTCAGCAAAAGGGAGACTCTAAGCAACTCAGTGAGAACCTGTCTCTAAATAATTAAACACAGAAGAGGAATGGGGATGTGGCTCAGTGGTCAACTGCCCCCAGAGTTCAATCCTCAGTACCAAAAAAAAAAAAAAAAAATGTGGTTGGAGCTGGGGAATAGCTTAGCAGAGCACTTGCTAGGACATGAGACCCTGGGTTTAAAACATTGGGGTGGGGGTGGGGGTGGGAGGTTGGTTGAGAAGAACCATCCCCTTCTAATAGTACCAATCTAAACCATTTTTAGAGCTACAGTAACTGTAAGAGTTAATAGTTAACTTTTCTTTTACTCTCCCTTCCTCCAACCCTCCCTCATTCAATTTATTTTTTATAGTACTAGGGATTAAACCCCAGGCCTTCCTTGCACATGCTACGCGAGCAGGAAAGCACTCTACCACTGAGCCAAAACCCCAGCTCTTTCCATTTTATTTTGACAGGGTCTCACTAAATTGCCCAAGCTGGCCTTAAATGTGTGATCTTCCTGCCTCAGCCTCTGAAGTGGCTGGGATTATAGGTATATGCCACTATGCCCGGTTTGGATGGTTATTTTTAATTCATTAGCTCCAAGAAAATGTCAAAATGCTTTTTGTCAATTTTTCCATCAGGTCTTCAAAAGCTGTGGTAGGGGAGGACTAGTGCAACCATTGAATTAAAAGTATACAAAATTGGAGCTGGGGATGTGGCTCAAGCAGTAACACGCTCGCCTGGCATGCGTGGGGCACTGGGTTCAATCCTCAGCACCACAGAAAATAAAATAAAGTTGTTTGTGTCCACCGAAAACTGAAAAATAAATATTAAAAATTCTCTCTCTCTCTCTTTAAAAAAAAAAAGTATACAAAATTACTACCCCCAAATTTATATACACATAAAGGTTGTCATTTACATTATTCATTATATTAAGTGATTCTGCACAACAAGCACAATCTTCAGAGTTCAAAGATATATGAATGGTCAACAAATATATGAAAAAATTTTCAACATCTCTATCAGAGAAATGCAAAGTCTACACTGAAATTTCACCTCATTCCAATCAGAATGGCAATTATCAAGAATACAAATAATAGATGTTGGCAAGGATGTGGGGAAAGGGTATACTCATACATTGTTGGTGGGATTGTAAATTAGTACAACCACTCTGGAAAGCAATATGGAGGTTCCTCAAAATTCACTGTTGTATTCTTAAGGGCAACTGGTAACATATACCAAGAGCCTAAGTGTAAATAATCTTTGATCTCATTAGTAATTTCTAATAATATAACATCTTTCCTCTCCGAAAAAAACTAGGATTGGAACTATCATTTGACCCAGTTATCCCACTCCTTGGTATATAACCAAAGGAGTTCAAATCAGCATGCTATAGTGACTCGTAGCCACATCAATGTTTATAGTAGCACAATTTACAATAGCTAAGCTATGGAACCAACCTAAATGCCCTTCGACAGATGAATGGATAAATAAAACATGGTGTATATACACAATGGACTATTACTCAGACTATCATGCTAAGTGAAATAAGCCAGTCCCAAAAAATAAGAGGCTGAATATTCTCTCTATATAGATGCTAACCCTGAACAAGGTGGTACGAGAACAGAAGTTCAGTGGGTTAAAAATCACATTTTCAGTTTCTATTTCAAATAAGTATTTTTAAAATGAAGATCCTTCAACCATAGTACAACAACTTAAATGCACTGCTAATCTTCAGGAAAAATAAGGGAAGTCTTTGGTGATAACTGATAATTTCTCAATTTATAATGCAGAATGAAGCTATAACTAGTCATATATGCTTCTACCAATTTTGTAACCCTAGAACTTTCACTTTAGTGACATAAATCATTGGACTATCCACAGTAGGGCACTGAACCTTAACTCCTAGCAGGTTTACCTCTCAATAAAAGCAAAAAGGAAGGCAATGTGACTAGGCGGGAACTGGCAGCACACAGCTGTGAGCAAGCCACAGGAGACTGAGTAGCAGCCTCTGAAAATTAAAACATGAGGAAAGGAACAGCTGGATTCAGAGACAGCTTCTTTGCACACATCTTTTGCCCTAGCCTACTTTCAGGTATAAACAAAGAATAATGGTTTTTCCTTCCTTGTAACACTTATTTTTCTCTTTTAACTAATTTTTAACTCTTTGTAATCACATTTATTTTTCCAATAATTTTTATGAACATAAATATATTTGTGTATATATTTTATAAACATAACGCACAGACAATAAGTATGAAGAAAAACCACCCATAGGACAAATTATTATCATCAACATTTTGGTACCCCCAGTGTAGGTAAGAACTTTTATGACATATTTAAGTATTAGGAAGAGGAGAATTGACCTCTACACACAGATCTGTACCTGGCGTTAGCATTTACAGATCCTGAGTTTAATCCCCCACTTAGCAAAACAATAAGAGCAAACAAACATGAAAGTAAGTATTCACAACTTGGAATACAGCTGCATAGCATTAAGTTTTATCGCTATATCATAATTTAACGGTTACCAATGAAGAGACGTTCAAATTGTCTACTTAAAAAAATATTTTTTAAGATGTTGATGGACCTTTATTTCATTTTATTCATTTATTTATATGCAGGGCTGAGAACTGAACCCAGTGCCTCACACATGCTAGGCAAGTGCTCCACCATTGAGCCATAACTCCAGCCCCCTCAAATTGTCTATTTTTAAAATAACATTGAAGAAATAATTTGTACTACTATCTTTGGAAAAAAAATGGGTTGTTGAGAACTTCCTTAAGTAGATTATTAAAAATTACTGATGAGGTCTAAGATTATGAAGACTTAGTCCAACTGCCCACAAGAATATAACCCTTTCACTTATACCACAAGACACCCTTAATCATACTACCAAAGGCATCATCAATCTTCACAATTTTTAAAAAATATTTTTTTATTTGTAGATAGACACGATACCTTTGTTTTATTTATTTTTATGTGGTGCTGAGGGTTGAACCCAGTGCCTCACATGTGCTAAGCAAGTGCTCTACCACTGAGCTACACCCCAGCCCTATTTATGTATCTTTAGTTTTAGGTAGATACATTAGTTTGTTTTTAAGTGGTGCCGAGGATTGAACCCAGTGCCTCATGCATGCTAGGCGAGCACTCTACCACTGAGTCACCATCCCAGCTCCATAATTATTATTTTTTTTTTTTTAGTTTTCAGTGGACACAACATCTTTATTTTATTTTTATGTGGTGCCAAGGATCGAACCCAGCACCCCGCACATGCCAGGCGAGCACACTACTGCTTGAGCCACATCTCCAGCCCAGGCAATTACTTTTTAATGAAATTTATAAGTTTCACAGTCAACTAAAGACTTCACAGAAAAACACTCACTAATACTTTACCTTCTTCAGTTGATTCTTTTTAATTCTCTCTACAGGAAGAGGTTTACCATCGTGGAAGTTGGTAAGAATTACTGCAATGGCTGTAAGAGTTTTACCCTTTCAAATGTTTAAAGAAAAAAAAAATGGTCAGATTCTGAAATCCAGTTGATCAGAAAACATTCCAAAACCAATTTTAAAATAATCAAATACTGACTATCATTCAAGGCCACAGAAGTGTAGGATCCTTATATAAAATGATATGCATGCTAATGAAAAATGAGAATCTTTCAGTTAAGAAATGCTTTTCCTCCCTCTCCTTATTAGAAAATTATTAGAAGATTTATATTATAAAATACTGCAAGCAACTCAGATGAATGTCATTTATTGAATACTGTTCTAAGATTCCACATTTAACTCAGAACTATTAATTTTATCATAAAACTGTTAACAATTAGTTTGCAAACGAAGTTTAGAGCTAATTTAAAATGAGTCCTAACTCCAGTATGCTTATGAAGATAATCACTTTATTAAATCTGATTTAACAAAACTTAAAAGCCACAACTCATCAAAGCATAAGGGGCATGATACTTCCTGTGTATTTTTCTTAAACGAAAACATGTTTACTTTTCAGTTTTCTCTGCAGTGTAATTCATAGTTAACAACACAGAAGCAAACATCTGGCAATGTTAAAGCAGGGTTAAACAGGAATTTTCAATGTGTGGGCCCCAGGACAGTTTCAGGAAAATGGGAGGTCAAAACTGTTTTCATAATACTGTTAAATACGACCTTATTTAACAAAGTGGGGTTATCATCTTTAAAAAGAGAAAAATAACTGAGTATCTTTTGTTCAAGGATAAAATCTGAACTTTTGCCTGGTTCAGTGGCACACGCCTATAATCCCAGCAGCTTGGGAGGCTGAGGCAGGAGTATCACGTGTTCAAAGCCAGCCTCAACAACTTAGTGAGGCACTAAGCAACTCAGCAAGAGCCTTTCTCTAAATAAAACATAAAAAAGGGACGGGGATGTAGCTCAATGGTTAAATGGTATTCTCTCACAAGAATTGTAATATGCATAGTATTCAGTAGATATTTGTGAGCCCCTAAGTTCAATGCCAGGTACAAAAAAAAAGTCTGAACTTTCAAGTGAAAATCAATATAAAACTTGGGACACTATAAAGACAGCAGTTTCCAAAAATGTAAGTGCTTTTTTAGTAAGATCAGTGGTAATATTAAAGAATATAAAATCTTAAGATTGTATATTGAAATGCACCAACATTTGGCAGATCAGCATAATACAGTGAATCGATATTTTCCAAATGAGTGAGCCTGGTTATAAAATCACGCGTAGGTAAAACATCTATGCAATGTGGAAAATATACTAATAAATTTTAATGCTGCTATTAAAAGTTCACTGGTATGATTTCAAATTCTATATTATAACTATTAACCTGTAATAAACCAATACTTGTTGGATTTCAGCATAGAACCAAATCTATAATTATCTAAAAAAACTATCAAAATACTCTTTCCTTCATGACTATATCCATATGAGTACAAAGTTTCTTCATACACTTCAACCAAAACACCACATTCACAACTGACTGAAATAAGAAACAGTCATGAGAATTCGGGTGCCATCTATTCATCCAAAACATCAAAAAAGGTTTGAAAAAAATGTAAACAATGCCAGTTTTCTCACCAAAATTACAACTGCTTTGGAATACTTTTCATTTAAAAATATGCTATTAACAAGTACTTTTGTCAACTGTTCTTTTTAATATTTAAAAAATATTTTTAATGTCTAATGCTGTAAAAGTCCTTTATCCATCTTTAATAATTTTTAAGAGTAAAAACAAGTTACTAAGACCCAAAAGTATAAAAACTGCTAGTGTAACTCATAAATATCTATTCAGAATATTCATAAATATCTACTGAAAACTCTGCATATTACAATTCTTGTGAGAGAATACCATTTAACTTAACGTTGTCTTTAACCATTTTTTGCCACGCCGGGGACTGAAATCCAGGCCTCGTGCATGCTTGGTAAGCACTCTACCACTGAGCTACACCCCAGCCCTGCCTTCACTTTTTTAAAGAAAATCTATGTAAGACAAATTAGCCCAAATTTCAAAACACAAAGAAATTGAAAACTACATGTTTATGCAATTACTGCTACCCAATTATTTTAATGTTCTTTAACCAAACAAAAAAACTGAGTATGATTTTAAGTCAACCCCAACACACAAAGCCTGTGTTCTACACTGAAACATATGCTTCAACTTCAAAATTACTTTTTATAAAATCATAATCACAAAATAAGATTGTATTAACTTAAGAAAAAAATAATTACCAAACCCATATCATCAGCTAAAATTCCTCCATGGACATTTTCTGGTCGGTCTTTCTCAGAAAAATTTGTTATTGTGTTGTAGTATAAGTCATTCCGCTGCTCCCAGAATGGAGGGAGTTCTTGACTGTTCTCCCGAGAGATCATCCAAGACAGAGCTTGTTTCTGATGAGGAAGCAATGGTGTTTCAACAGCCTAGAAACAAGAGTGTCACAGAACTATAGTTAGGTCTTTCCTTTCTCTACATGCAGTACCTAAAAGAGTTTATCTTGTGCAAAGAAATAAAGAGGATATTTAAAAATGCCCAATACCTCAGCTGGTTCCATTTCATGAGTTTTATCATCTTCTTTTAAATCTTCAAATAATTTGTCAAATTCTGTTTTAAGCTGTAGTAAACAGCAACAAGAAACACCATTAAGCAAGTCAAGTGATAACTATACCTAATTCAGAGATTTCATGTCTTTTTCTTTTTTCCCCTGATACTAGGGACTGACTGCAGTAGCATTTTACCAGTGTTATATCCCCACCCTTTTAATTTTTTGAGACAGGGTCTTGCTGAATTGTCCAGGCTGACCTCCAACTTGTGATCTTCCTGCCTCAGCCTCCCAAGTGGCTAGGATTACATGAATTCATATTGTTTAATTAACCAGAAGAGTCAAACATTTAACCCTCTGGGATACTACATGGCTCACTGAAGGTAGAATGAACAGCTTTTGTTCTTTATTGTTGTTGTTATGAAAAAAACTGCAGGGGCTGGAGTTGTAGCTCAGTTGCACAGTGCCTGCCTAGCACAAGTGAGGCACTGGGCTTGATCTTTATTTAGCACTGCACAAAAAACAAAACAAAACAAAACAAATAAAATAAAAGGCCTATTTTCATCTATACTTACAAAAAATAATTTTTTAAAAAAGTAACTGCACTGTAGTTAGAAAACTATAAAACAGAGACCTTGTATCTAAATAAAATACAAAATAGGGCTGGTAGTTTAGTGGTCAAGAGCCCTGAGTTCAATCCCTGGTAACAAAAAAAAAGATATATAGGGAAAACATGGTAACCACAATTAGAAGACAATAAGACTAACACTAGCAGATGGAGATATTAAAATATTTTGATGTTATTTTTAAATTGATCTGTATTTATTTATTTTATACACCATTTCAAATTAACCCAGATAATACAATCCTAGATTATGAATTAGACAAAGTAAGGGCTAGAGCAATGCCAACACTTGGAGTTAATTTTTACCATTGCATTTGCAACCTTACTGAAAGGAGTAGTAAGTTTCAAATTTCGATGTTTTAAATTACCACTTGGACATTTTGAAAATCTCAAATACAAAAATATCTCATGCAGATCCACACATGTGAATGTTTTGGTAGAATAGGTCCAACCAGCCATGGATCAAAAATGTAGTTAGGCCTATAATGGTTATACCTGTACTGAATATGTAAATATCTTTTCTCCTGTCATTCCTTAATCAATATAGTACAACAACTATTCATATAGCATTTACACATTTACATTACATTAGGTAACATAAGTAATCCAATAACAATTTAAAGTATATGAGAGGATGTATGTGGATATATAAGGGAATTAGGGATCCTGGAAACTATCTGTGGATGTCAAGGGATGACAACATTCCTTATCACAGCTTTTTAGATAACATTTACAAACAAGTATAACTATGTGTATACATACACACACACACACACACACACACACACACACACATTATATAACAGGTTTATCATTTTAAAAATATAAAGATCATTAATGCCAGCACATACATATCATTCTATTCTTTGACATACCAACCTTCTACATTTAAAATTTACTTTTAGATTTCAGCACAAAATGAAAGAGAAGCACACCTGTTCCGCTGTCATCTGTACTGCAGCATGAACTGGCATACTGTAGCTCGGTCCAGCTCTTCCAGAGCTCCAACTACTTTCCAAATTGAATCCCACAGCTATAATTCACAAATAAAAATAAAAGAGTTTTAAAACTCGTACAATAAACCGCATTAAAAATTTCCAAGTAACTGAGGACATAGCTCAGTGGTGGAGCATTTGCCTAGTGGGTCAAGGCCCTGGTTCCAGTCCCAAGCACCACAAAACAATAAATAATAAAAACTAATTTAGGTAAGTGCTCTACCACTGAGCTACATCTCAAGCTCTAGATAAATATTTATAATTAAAAAATACATTATTAAAATAATTCCACAGTATATGAATGAGCTCTTGCCTAACCAACAATTCTTTTCCACCCTCAATCTCTAGATTTGTTTTGTCTAAAATGTATCAAAAAGAATCATTAGCTTTGGGGGGATTTAAGAGGGAGTCTATAGAAGCTCTTTGAATATATGTTTGTGAATCCACAGTTACAACCATGCACCATGTATAGACATTTTGATCAATGTCAGACCAGATAAGAGGCTGGTACCATAAGATTATATGGCCTAGCAATATTGCAATCTTAGCCTGCATAAGCACACTCTGTGATGTCTGCACAACAACAAAGTCTCCTAATGATGCATTTCTAAGAATCCATTCCCATTAAGTGATGTATTACTACATTTCAAGAGAAAAAAGAAAAAAATCTGAGATTTCCTCAAAAAGACACCAGGGCTTTCAACACAAATTAGTCTGGCGAACAAAATCAAAAGACAATAAACAGTCTACAATTCCTGCATTTACAATATTAAATAATATTAAGTTAAATTTTAAACTTACTTTTTGGTGCAGGACCCAATTTAAATCCATGTTTCTTCAATTGATCTAAAACAGCTTTTCTATTTTCTTCTTTTCCCCAAAAAGTCATTTGCAAAGGCATGGTGAAAGCATTGTTTGCACCAAAAGGAACTACCCTATTATATTTAGGAGAGAAAGAGAAGGGGAAATTTGAAGAATTTGTTATCCTAATTAAGAATCTGTTAAATATCCCACTGCACCTTCAAATTTTGAATGGAAATAAAGTAGGAAGACACTGACCACTTGGAAAGACTTGAGAGAGAAAAAGGACAGGATAGTAAATCAGCAAGGAACAGAATGTCCAAAGAAACACACCAAGGGATAAAACAGTGCAAAACACAACTGTTTCTACACAAAACTGCAAGATAAAACATTCTGTAAATCCTTTTGACAGTGAAGCCTTGGCTAAAAGAATCACCAAAGGTGGATGCTGGGGGAAGATGGGAAATGACCTGCAGGAACTAGTTCTAATCCAGGATTACTCAAATTCGTTCTCAGTACATAAATATCCTAAGCATTAGAATTGAGGTATGAATATTCCAAATACTTAAGTTGAGATAACAAATATAAACTCCTAAAGAGAAAAGGTAGCCAAGAGGAGTATATCAGAGCTTAACAAAATAAAAACAAAGGGATGGAAGAAGTGAGAGAGCAAGTGCCTTAGCTGAAAGAAGAGCTACTATGAGTTCCAGTCAACTGATGGCATGTGGAGATGAGGGTCCGGCATTAACCAGTCTCCCATTTATAAAGAGAAAAATCTGAAGTTTTCCATTTAGGAAAAAGAACGAGGAAGTAGAAAATGTAGATATCCAGATTTGGATAATAGAAATAAATAAAAATAATTCCAAAATAGCAGGCAAAATGAAACTCACCTATATCTGATCATAGGCTACCAGTTTACAACCTTTGATTTATACACATTTCTTAATTCCCAAATCTACATGTGATAAGGTTGGAGAGATGGAGTACACCTCCCAACAGGTGAACCATGGTCTTTTTCTCCATGGTACAACTTAACAGGAAAGCAAGAGGACAGCTATTGGATGGCTACGCAGTAAGAGAACTGGATAGGTTAACTAAAGGGACAGTATCAAAAGGCACCACAATACTTTTATAGGCCTTAAGAGGCCCTAATAAGTTCTAAGATAGCTTTGACTCACAATACGAAAACCAAACTCTAAAAGTACGTTACCCTTCCACTTGTGCCAATTTGTTGTCCATGATATAAGCCAAAGCAGCTGCCAGATCTTTCTTTAAATGTCCAACCTGATTTCCATTCACATTGTTTACTTTAATGGCATTCTTATCATAGGGGTTATTAGGCTCTCGTTGTAATGCAACCATTTCATTATTATTAACCTAACAAGAAAAATGAGCAGATAAGAACATTATATTAGAATTATGAACAAACAATAATAGCTTGACTTCATTATATTTTACCTGAAATTTCTATTCATTTTTTAATGCTACTTCTACACAGTTTATTCATCTGGAATCAAACCAGAAATATTAAGGAAAATATTTTACAATGATTCTTTTGTACTACTTTTCTAATTTATATTCACTGTGAAGTTAATAAACCAGTGATAACTTCTGAAAAATAGCTTACCTTTCCTGAGAGCTTACTATATGCCAAACATTGTTTGACGTACACTACATAGTGACCTTTTAAAGCCTCATAATTCGTAGGCATATAATTATTCTCATTTTACATATGAAGAAACTAAAGCACAGAAGTCTTTTGCTTGAGACCACAAAGTTAATTAAGTATCAATGCTAGAACTGGACCCCAGGCAGGCTACTTTAGAATTTAGAGAGGAAAAAGGCATTTGTAACTCAGAATGGAACTAGCATAAGGAAAATATATCCAGCCTCCAACCCATGCTATTTTCTGATTCAACTTGATTAAAAACTGTGAAGATGGCAACGAAAATAACATAAGAACTTCCAAAGTTCTCTCCTCCATAAAAGCAGCAGAAAAACTGCCCAAACTGATAGAATCAACTTTTCCAGGACTCTGTGAACTAATCCAAGGCTGGCAGAAGTTTAAGGAGTGCTTATCAAGAAAAACAGCTGAATATAAATGCTTCAATCTCCTTCCCAACTCCCCAGCTACAGAGCAGCCTTTAAAAACATCAACCCACTGAGATTCTTACAGCAGCCTGGCATTCAACAGGGTGGGCAGGGTGGAGCTGCAGGTTTTTCAAAGACCCAAAAAGCCACCATTGCCTGGCCCATGCCATGGTTCCCTACAACACTCTGCTCTCTGGCTGTATTTGAACTCTTAGCCCACCTCAGAGGCAGGTGAGAAAGCTTCCTTGACCAAGTGTTCATCAGACACAACTTCACAGGCAAGTATCTTAACGCTATTGCTGCTTGAGGAATGGATAATAATTAGAATAATAATAATAAAAAAAACAGAATAGAAAAACAAAAAATCTAAACGGAGAAGCTGGGGAATGAGATGTCAATAGGTGCTTTGAAAAGCTCCAATATATCCCTGGCATTCTAAAAGGCCACATGAAAACACAGGACTACCCATTTGACCATGAATGTGCACATTCTCAGCAAAGACCTGAGAAGGCCCTATGCGCTTGTCTCTGGCTGAACTCGAGGCATTTAAGAAGCAAGAAATAAAGGCTAAGGCAGAACTGTGCCCAGCCCTGGAGGTTTGAAGGAATGCCCCCAACATACACAGGCACTCTAGGCAAAGGCTGGGAAATCGATTGGTTCTAGTACAACCATTAACTGACCACTAAGCCAAGTACATGCTTCAGTGACTACACACAATGAATAGACTTTATAGAATTAATTCAGAAAAGTCACTAGCAAATACCAATTACCAAAGCTGGCAATAACAAACAACCCTAGAAAGAGAGAATATAATTTCCGGAGTTGAACATTACTTTCAATGCCCATTTTACACAAGAAAAGCACAAGTCATGCAAAGAAAGGGCAAAGCATGGTCTATACATAGAAAAAACAGCAATCAATATGAACTATACCCTAAGGAAGCACAGATGTTCAACACACTAGAAACAGACTTTAAGTCAACTACTTTAATATTTTTTTAATATTTTTTTTTTTTTTTAGTTTTCAGCGGACACAACATCTTTGTTTGTATGTGGTGCTGAGGATCGAACCCGGGCCACACGCATGCCAGGCAAGCGTGCTACCGCTTGAGCCATATCCCCAGCCCAAGTCAACTACTTTAAATATGCTGAAAGACAGCAAATCATTTCTTCAAACATGAGGACTTGATCTCAAAGAAACTCTGGACTCAGAAAAATTACTGAAATAAAAAATTCAGTAGAGAGGCTTAATAGGTGACTTGAATAGACAGAAGAAATAATCAGTGTAATTTAAGATAGGTCAACTGGGATTTAAACAACAGAACAAAGAAAGAATGTAAAAACATAAACAAACAGAACCTCAGAGATCTATGTGTCAACATCAAGTATACAATCGCATACATAATGAGTGCCAGAGGAGAGGAGAAAGGAGCAGAAAAAACATCACAAGAAATAATGGCTGACAATGTCCTGAATTTGATGGAAAACATTAATCTACACATTTAGAATCTCAACAGTCGCCAAGTAAAATCAATTCAAGAGACACACATCTGGACACAGCATCATCAAACTGTCAAAGAATCTTGAAAGCAAGCAGCAAGAGAAAAGCACCTCCTCACATACAAAGACTTGATTTCTCATCAGAAATGAGGGAGGCCACAAGAGAATGGAAAAACTTCTCAAAGTGCAGAAAGAAAAAAATTCAATCAAGAATTTTATAGCTGGCAAAACTACACTTCTAAAATGAAGGAGTAGAGCATAAATGGCACATGCACTGCAATCTCAGTTACCCGGGAGGCTGAGGCAGGAGGATCCCAAATTCGAAGCTGGCCTTAGCAACTTAGCAATACCCTGTCTCAAAGCAAAAAATAAAAAGAGCTGGGGTGCAGCTTAGTGGTAAAGCACCCTTGGGTTCCAGTCCCAGTACGTGCCCCCCCCCCAACACACACACACAAAGGAAGGATAAATTAAGACATTCCTAGAGAAACAAAAACCAAGAGAATCCATCACCAAGAAGAAATACTAGAGACAAGCAGAAATCCAAAAATACTAAACACTAACTTGAATCCACATGAAGAAATTAAGAGCAGGTAAAGGTAATTGTTTACACTAAAAAGAAAAAAGACAGTATAAATGGATTTTTGTTTGTAGTTTTTTTTCTCTTCACCGATTTTTTTTTTGTGTGTGTGTGGTGCTAGGGATTGAACTCAGGGCCTTGCACATGCTAGGAAAGTGAGCTATGTCCCTAGCCTCTCTTAACTGATTTAAAGTTGCATAAGACAATTACTATAAATCTGCACTGATGGGTACTCAACATAAAGACATAATTTGTGTAATAAGAGCACACACACAAAAAAGGGGTAGGATGGAGATATCTAGGAGCAAAGCATTTACTGAAATTAAGGTGGCCCAAATCAAACTAGGGACTTACAATAAATTCAGATGTTAACTGTAATCCTTATGATAATCACTAATAACTCAAAATATGTTTTAAAATAAATAAAGTTTTATGGTACACTAGAAAATACCAGTTTAATACACAAGAAGGCAGCACTGGAGGCCAGACCCAAAGGCCACATACTGCCTAATTCCATTTATATAAAATATCTGGAGCAGGCAAATTTACAAATTAGGCAGAAGTTCAGGGACACCACGATGGTGGAGACAGGGTAAAAGAAAGCATTAGAGGACAAGACAAGGAGTCAGTCTTCTTTATAGTAAGTCCCACTACCATGACCATTCCTGCCACTGAGGACTTATCACCATGACAACTCTCACCAAAGATTTGATATTTTAAAATGACCAATTGGGGTAAAGTGGGCGATATTCTAATTAGGTTTTCTAAAGTAACCAATGGGAAGAAAATTGGAAAATAGATTGTTTAGGTACCATAAGGTAACCAATAGTAGCAAATGGGGTAAGGTAGTCAATCAGGTCTGTATAGGGAAAAGAACATCCCACAGCTCAGCATGTAAGACTCTAATTTCCAAGCATTGGGGCTTTAAGCACCTTTCTCTCTCTCTCTCTCTCTCTCTCTCTCTCTCTCTCTCTCAGTCCATTCCATTCTACCACAGAGTGCTACCTTCACCTTCAATAAGTCTGTATTTTGCCTGTTACTTCTGTGTGTCTTGCTCAATTCTTTGTTTGGGACATCAGGCACCAAGGATCTGGACTTCAACTGGACTTCCTAACGGTAACTTAAGCAAAAGAAAACAGCTGAGGGTACAGCTTAGAGGTAGAGTGCACACCTGGCTTGAAAGGCCCTGGAATTCCAACTCCAGTACTAAAAAAACAGGACTAGGGATGTAATATAGCTCAGTAGTACAACAAATGCAAGCATGAGGTCCTCAATTACAACCCCTACCCATGTGTATTCTGTTATTGCTTTATAAAATAAATGTGTGTGTGTATGTGTGTATGTGTGTGTACACATGCACACGGAATGTTCGTTCGGGGCTGGGGGCACTGCTCAGTGATAGAGTGCTTGCTTATCATGTGAGAGGCCCTAGGTTTAATCACCAGCACTGCAGAAAAGAAAAATAGCAAAAAAAAAAAAAAAAAAAAAAATTTTTGTGGTACTGGGATCGAAGTGAAAGGTGTTCTACCATTAAGCTACAACCCCAGGCTGTCCTATTTTTTGTTTTGCTAAGTGGCCAAGGCTGGTCTTGAACTTGTAATCCTCCAGCCTCTACCTCCTAAGCAGCTGCTGGGAGTATAAGCACACACTGCCAGGCCCAGCTAAAAAATAATAAATTTGATAGTATGTGGACTATCCTAATTTTTTAATTTCCTGAAGATACAGGAAAACTGCTTTGAACCTCTCCCAGCATCTGTCTACTGATTCAAGACATTTTGCATGGTACAAAGAATTAAGACACAAAAGGATATAAAAACACAAAAAGCATGGCTGTATTCCCAGTGGCTCAAGAGGCTGAGGCAGGAGGATCACGAGTTCAAAGACAGCCTCATTAACTTAGCAAGGCTCTGTCTCTAAATAAATAAATAAATAAATAAATAAATAAATGGGGTTGGGGATGTGGTTTGGTGGTTAAGTACTTCTGGGTTCAATCCCCAGTACCAAAGAAAGACAGACTTGAGCATGAAAGCTACAGGACAGATAGTTTATCAAATAAGAACTGATACAATTCTAGCTGGGCACAGTGGCTTACACCCATAATCCCAGGGATTTGGGAGGCTAAGGTAGGAGAATTGCAAATTCAAAGCCAGTCTCAATAATAGTAAGAAGCTCAGCAACACAGTGAGACCCTGTCTCTAAATAAAATACAAAATAGGACTGGGGCCAGGTGCAGTGGCACATGCTTATAATCCCCGTGGCTCTGGAGGCTGCAGCAGGAAGATCAACTTCAGCAAAAGCCAGTGGCTAAGAAACTCAGTGAGATCCTGTCTCTAAATGAAATACAAAAGAAGGCTGGGAATGTGGCTCAGTGGTTGAATATCCCTGGGTTCAATCCCCAGCGTCCAAAAAAAACCCAACTGATACAATTCTAAAAAGAACTAGAAAAAGAAAAGCCATTTTAAGACTAAATTAAAAGAACAAAGAGTGAACAGACATGGTAAGTGGTGGAAAATTAAAAAGTGAAAAAATATGAGGAATAACAAAGATATAGGTATACAGCAGTCTACAGGGATGCAGAATGGGGAGACAGAATATGAAGTCGCTGAAAAAGAAAATGAGCTTTGGAACAAAGCAAACACTCAAAACAATTTACAGAAAATTTTCTAAAACAGAAGAAAACAAATTCACAAAATTAAGACATACCCTAAAAACACTATTAGAATTTCAGGGTAAAAAATAGACATATCTTTTAGTCATCCTGAAAAAAAAGAAAAATTCCAACTCACTTAAGTGGACAGAAAATCATATTGGCATCAGAATTCCTATGGACATTTGATGCAACATTAGGATATGGAGAGTAATTTGGGTCTAGAATTTTATATTCAGCCAAACTTTCTTTAAGATACAAAACATCAAAATTATGAACATATAAAAACTCAGGAAAAATTGTTCTTTCCTAAGTCATCTCCTACACAATACAGTTCATATGATCACCAAACAATTTGAGAAGCTCCAATGTAAACAAAATATGAGACAATAAAAGACTAGACAATACTGGAATACGGAACTTTTACACAAGAAATCTCCTACAGAACATATTTCAGACAATTAAAAAGATGGTTTGACAAGCTTCAACATAGGAAAAATATGGGGGAATTATAAAAACTACCAAATCCACAAATTTTTACAAAAGATCTGGATTTTGCCATAAAACTATAGCATGAAACAAGAAGGAAGGGGTCTTATGACCCATTATAACCAAAAATAACATATGTGCCTTGTCTTGACACTGACTCAAAACAAAACAAAAAAAATCAATCAAAGACATTTTTTAAAAAATCAAGAGAATCTATTTATGGGTTACTTATTAGATAGGATATAAAAATGTAAGACGTGTAAAAATTTTGAGAAATACATAGTGAATTATAGTAACATAAAATGATACATTCGGAATTTGCTTTTTTACAATACAAAATGGACAAAGAAAACAAAATGTGGGAAAAAACTTTGCTGGAGAATCTGGATCATAGATATAATGTAAGTTTATCATATTCTTTTATTTTCATGCATGTTTAAAATTCTTCTTAGTAAACTCATAAAATAAGAGATATAGTATCCAAATGACACAAGAGGCATCCTCAATAACCATAACAAATAAATACAACTCCAACCAGAAAAAGTTATATTCTCTGCCCTCTTCCCTTTCTCTCATACACACATAATTCACAACAGATACAGAATAATAGAGAAAGAAAAGGCAGAAGATACTTTATAGTATCTCTGTATTTTGGGCAAATCTTTTAACTTCAAAGACGATACCTCTCTTAGTTACTGTAAGAATCAAATGATGGGGCAAAGCGCTCTGAATATTGAAAGCAAGTTATAAATGCAGAAGAACAGTAGTAAAGTAAGGAAAACAAATTATTTTTCATCTCTTGCTTACATATATTTCATATATCACCTTCTAACACTCTTGTTTTCTAGGTTAATACCACAAATACACCACGATTTAATTTAATATCTACTTTTATACTCACTACTCCTGTGTAATAGCGTAGTCCAACTACATGACCTCTCAAAGTTCCAAATAACACTGAATCCAGCTCCTCATCACTAGTTAGGAAGTCATCTGGAGGGATAATATCTTGGAATTCAAAACGTGGAAAGAAAGTTGGATATGAGAGGCGTGGAAAATTTCCATGGACTCCATACTGAACAGTCTGCAAATACTTCCAAACAGGATCCCTAATAAAGACAAAAAAAAAAAAGGCACAGAAAATCTACAGTATTTAACCAATAATTTCTTAAAAACCACAGACCAATAGCATTTATAGATCAATGGTTTCCTCACTTTATTTTAGCAAATAAATAATCTTATGTGGGAATCCCTGTGAATAGATGAATAGCTATTCTGGTTAAAGCTGGAATTGAAGGAGTCCAGGAACTCTACCTGTTCAACACCAGCTCTTTTACCACACCTCTGCCCCAATTCAACATGAAAAACCCAGTAAGGGTTGACAAAACTCTTTTCTAGTGAAAGTCATCTATTGAAATTGAAATGTCTGGACTTATGATTATATGCCAAAATTCCAATGGCGACTGATCTAGAAGAGATTCGCAAAAACAGAACTATTAGACATGAAGCTATTCCTATCTTTTCAGATAATGCATCCAACATTCATTACTTTAATTCCCTCCGAAGAGCACGCATTTTATTACGATCTCCACACTATGCCATCATGGGAAGCAGACCTCAAGCGCCCCCTTAACCAAGCTCCTCCACTCATTGGTTAAAGAAAATTTTTATGGATAATTATTTCAGGAATAGGCATAAAAACCATTATGGACGATGAAAAATGAGATGTCTGTGCGGGGCCTCCAGAAGTTTCCACTGGAAGCGACAGTCGCTATTTGCTCTGCGTTTTCCTGGCGCGTCGTGCATTCCTCCTTTCAGCTCTTCTGCAAACACATATTCGCACATCTGTGCGTGCACAGGCATGGTGACTATTTGGGGACAGCGCTGCCGTTCTCGGCCTCCGCTGGATTGCAAGGCCTAGCGCACAGTGGGTGTCTAATGGATGTCGTGTGGAATAAAGCACCCGCCGGGCGGCTGAGCGCGACCCCCGCAGTCCGTGACAGAGCTTTCCCAAGGCCCTGGCACGAGACTCGCCAGAGGAGCCGCTCCTCGCAGCAGAGACAATGCGTCGATTCCTCCCGTGGCCGCAGGAGAGGGCGGCAGACGGGAAACCGAGCTGCACAGTGCACAGCGAGCGCGGCGGCAACGCACAGAAGGTCAGGTTCACTTGGGGACGCCGCCAGGCCGTTAGCCCAGCGCCCCACCCCCTCCGCCCCCTTCACCTCTTGAACATCCAGGACATGGTGCTGCGTGGGGTGACCCCAGGGACGCTGCGCGCCCGCGAAGGCTCTTGAGCCGACTCGGTCAGTTCCTTCCAGGCCTCGCAGCCCAGAAGACAGGAGCAGGCTCCGAGCGCTGAACCAGGAGCGCTGCGCGTCTAGGCGGACGTAGTCGTCGTCTCCGGCTAGCAACAATCTGAGACCCGCGACGCTCGGTGACTGGCACTGCGAACGTCCAATCCGGAGGAGGAGCCTGCGGAGACGACCCAATCGGGATACGGAAGGGAGGGCAACTTCGCCCCGCCCTGCGATTCAAAGACGGCGGGGGGTCCCGGCTGCAGGGGCGGTTCCATCCGGGTTCTTCCCCGCCCCCAGGGAGGGCGCGCGGGAAAGCCACGCGGCCTCGAGTGCGAGCGTGGTGCCTGCGGTGCTCGTGGCGTGAGCTGCGTTCCCTGTCTCCACCGGGGGGAGACAACTCTCCCTAACAATGTTGCCCCCGTAGCCCGAAGTCTAGCCGCATTCTGCAGGTCTGACCTCACATTAGCTCCCATTGCTTCTCATATCTGATGTACAATATGGTCTTAACGCAACGGGTTTCTCATTTTAGGAGACCAGAGGCAATCAGTGATAAACTGCTTACCTTCATTTTCTGCCGCCAATGCTGGGACTTAGCGCTGACCTTTGTTATTTTAAAGCCTGGTTGGTGTATGTGAGACACAGCGAGTTCAGAAAATGTTAAAAGGAATGTATAGATTGGCTTTTCCATTTTTTGTTGTTCTAAAGGAAATTTTTCATGTTTTTGGTACAAGATATACAATAGGATGATAGCACAACTAAGGTGGTTGACCATAGCTGGAAATGGCCGTGATCAGCCCCCAGGATGCATATGGCTGCCGCGGAAGCAAAATTCGTGCCTGGGCCTGCTGCAGCCTAGAGCTGGAGGTGCTGGTCCTTGGCCTTGAGGGGCTGAGAAGATGGTGCTGCCGGTAAAAGCAGCTGCACCCTCATCAGGGTAGGAAGTTGGTGGTGGCACTGAGCTGCTTGTGGGGCGCAGTGTGACTGTCAGAATTGCTGCATCAGAGAGGAAATATGTTTATACATGTGGTAAGTATTAACACTTGCTCTCCATCAAATGGTCCATTTTATGCTCCCATTTGCAGAGTATGAAAGGTGGTCAATGAAAGTTTTTCAAGAGGCGTTTATTCGTTACCTTAAGGGGGGGAATCTAAGCCAGCAATGGAATGAAAAAGTGTGTGTGTGTGTGTGTGTGTGTGTGTGTGTGTGTGTTTTGCTGGGGATGGAATCCAGGGCCTCAGGTATGCTAAGCCTGCACTCTACCACTATGCTAAATCCCTACCACCAATGACATATTTCGAAGCAAATTTATTACTTAATTTAACCAAACAGAAGTTAATGAGGAATGTAACGATAATAGCATTTTCAAGTTATTCCACTTTATTGAAAGTTTTAGGAGGCAAATGGCAATGCACTTCAACTTTATTGTGCCAGACTCAATAGATTTTTGGAAAATATGCCGGAAAATGCCCAGACTGATAATATTTTGTGTGTATAGTTAATGAAGCCATATTCATTAGACAGAAAGATAAAATCCCAAATGTAGGAACATGGCTCTTTCAAGACTTAAAATCCGTGAATAACAACTGTCCCATGGTTAACGAATGTGGCATATAAAGTAATATTTGCTCCTTAAAAATCAAAACTTTTTTCCACATTGTCAGCATTTTTACATCCCAGAATCAAAAAATGAACTTGAGTATTCTTTGACTTAATCATTCTTTACTTTTTATTTTCCAAAAGCAAGCACAATTTGTACTGTTTTGATTAAAATGCTACAACTTATCACACTAGATAATGTTTTCTGAAAAATAAACATTTGTAACTGGAAGAACAGTAGGGTGGCTTATGTGTTGAATGAGTAAGGAGGAGAGATGGCACAAAAAGAGGAAGGAGAAGAAAGTCAAGGCCAGATGACATAGGAATTTATGATCCATCTACAGTAAAGTTTCTGCTTTAACTGATGAATAGCCTATGAGTGCTTTAAGCAGGTAAATGATGATGTAGGCTCTTAAAAACTTCACTCTAGCTGCTGTGTGGAGAATGGATTATTAGGGGACAAAAATAGAAGCCATTGATAATTAGGAAAATATTGTGCTCAGGTAAGAGACTTGGTGGCCTGGAATGGGGAAATAGATAAAGCTAAGAGAACAAGCAAAGCTAACTGAAAAGTTTGCATATGGGTGATGAGGAAGGGGAAGGAATCCAAAATTACTCCAGCCATCCACTTCCTAAGGGCACTTTCTCTTCGACCTCCCACCCTTTATGCAAATTAATCTTGTCACTCTCCTGTGTATCCCTGTGAGCATGAACTCCAAGCATGGCATGTGTGGCTCTTTATGATTTGTCCCCTCCCTCCCACTCCAGCTTTAACTCCCTTCACTTCCCAATGCCCCCCCCATAATGTCCTTAGTAATTTCTCTGAAAACTATGAATATTTCCATGTATAACAAAAAGACCAATATCATACCTAGTAAAATTAATTAATCAATCCTCAGCATCTCCTAGTAACTAATTCATAATCAGATTTTCACAATTAATTAAAAAAACTTTAAGAAGATGAACACTCAGATATGTGCCTTCAATACAAGACCTTCCAAGTTTATGTTACATTGAATAAAATTTTGCTTGTTTTCTTTCACCCCAAAGAAAAGAAAGTTCCATGAAGGAGAATTTTCAGGAATGACAGATGGGAGGGTTTTTGCAGAGTAAATTTCCTAAGTGGCTCTTAAGGAAAGGGGCCTGGAATGCCATCACACTGGATCAAGGTCCACAAAGGGAGGGGTGTCAAAGCCTAGCAAAGTATCCAGAGAGCCCCATAAGAAAAGGGAGCTGTGCCTTATTCCACAGAGCCTAATCTCAGGATCCTGCTGATCTTAGAGAAAGTCTGAGAGACCAGAAATGTGGCAGGGCAGTATAGGAGTGAGGAGGCTCTGCTAAGGGCCCCAAGAGTAGCCTTGTAGAATCCCAGGAGAGTCCTGCAAGTAGTCTGCAACCCTGTGAAGCAGGGAAGCTGGGGCTTAGTCAGATCTTGGCTCCAGCAAGCAAAAGCAGGAGGCTGGTCCCCAACAATGAGTTGGGAGGAGTTGCATTGGCAGGGGTGTCTGCAGATGAAAAGAGTTCAAACATTACTCCCTTGGAGAATAAGAGGGAGTAATAGAAAACTGAATTTAATTTACATTAAATCTTAAAATGACTAAATTATCTCGCATTGGGTAGACTGAAGGTCTAATATAAGTTCAATTAAAAAAAAAAGTTTACCTTTGCATATGGCATCAGTGATTGTAATTCATACATCATGTCCACCCACATCTAAATGAATTGACACCAGATTATATAGCAGATACCTCTAGCTGGTCAAACTAAGGAGTTTTCTTTCTTTCGTTCTTTCTTTCTTTCTTTCTTTTTTTTTTCTTCATAGTACAAGGATTGAACTCAGGACCTTTGCATGTTGGGTAAATATTTCTTCATTGAGCTATATCCACAGCCCTTTTATCTTTTATTTTGCAACAGAGTCTCCCTAAGTTGCCCAGGCTGGCCTTGGATTTGGCCTGCCTGAGCCTCCCAAGTAGGTGGCATTACAAGCATATACTACTATACCTGAGCTATTTTCTGTTTTTTGCTGTTTATACGTATGCAAAATGTTCTCATGTTGATATATATTGCTTTTCTGTCAAACAATAAACTCTAGAAGAAATTACAGTAATGAACTATTTTTCAACTACTTTTGACTAATTTTATACTTAAAAAAATACCTTTAAAATTAGTACAAGTTCTTCTCTTGTCTCCCTTTCTCTGCTTATTTCAACTCCATACAGAAATATAGTACAATGATCAAAACCAGGAAATGAACATGAGTACAATACCATTTCTGAGCCTTTTTAAAAAATTACCAAAGAAGACAATGTAGAGGAAATAAGAGAAAATAATTTGTGACTTAATTATTTGCAGCTAAATCTTCTTACATTTAATCAGGCCCCTGCAGACTCTAGGGCAGAATCCTGGGTAAACCAAAGTTGTCAGGGCAAAGGAAGTGATGTAAAAATAATGCCCTGTTAAATTCCTAATTAAATAATACAATGAATATCAAGCGCCTGCCCTAAAGCAAGAGCTCAATAAATAGTCTTATTATCATTACCATTATTGTTGTAATGGAATTATTGCCTAATGAGTCTTTTAGTGCTTAACAAGGAATATGATTGATTGAGAACTATTTCCTGATTGGCACTCCATCAGCAGGGTTGTCCCTAAACAACAGAAAAAGAGTTAGCTGAAGCTAGTCATTTTCCCAGATGCATGTCCTTGAAACTGAATTGTTTCTAATCCAAGACCAGGAGACTGTTCAAGCTGGACTCCCACCCAGAGAAGTATGTGGTGCTCCAGATTGCACCGGTTTTTCCCAGGAGATAATTCTTCCCTCCTCCTTTGGACTCTAAATGCTCTTCCGTTGTCCAAGCCCAGAGTTGCTGAAGCATCAGACCTGCCTGGGACTTGTGGCCCCTTTGTCTCCTGCCCAGGAAGTTCTCCTAGTTTTAAAAAAGTAGGGCTCTAAGTCTCACTTTTTATTTAAATCTAAGCAGAATTATTTAGGGGTTCTGTCATATCCATGGCTAAAGTTATCTTTTTATTTTAATGAATACTATAAAGATTGGTGAAAAATTTTTTCTGCCTTTTTATAGTTGAAAAATTAAAAGACTAAAACTTTAAACTCTACATGCACCTTCAATATGATTTTAAAAAGACTTTTTTTAAATGTGAAAAACTACTGTTTTTTAGTGATCATCAACATTTACCAAACTTTTGCATTCTACAACTAACTATACAAATGTGAGAATGAAAGTTTAACTTTCCATTTCAATGAGTCTTTT